AAAGAGGAAACTTAGTCTAATTTAAGAGCGATAGTTGGTGGAATTGGTTCAACTACCACTTTACCCGCACAGTCGCAGGAGAAATCATAGAAAACGGCTCTGTAGACTTTAAAAGTCTTTAGTTTTGTTTACTGCAGAGAAACAGGTTACCTCGCTTCCCTTAGGAACGTACCATCACTGACACAGGGGGGTCCGCACAGTTCCCGATATCCAAAATTCCTCTATATGTTCTTTCCCTTAGGAACATATCATCACTGAAACATAACAGAAGTTTTTCTAAAAGTATAATGATAATAACAAATAATAATAACATTATTATTATTATTATTATTATTATTGTATTTAATGTTTTTAATTAATCATCATCATCATCATTGTATCTGTATTTTAGGCAAGCGTGCATTCATTTGTTACTAAAAGTTACTCATTACTACTTTGAATCTTTTGACATCCACCATTAAATCCACAGTTCCAATATGAATCATCATGTGGGCTTTATAGTGCGTTGATACAAAAATACTGTTCTGAAGGGACATACATTATCTCCTGTAATCAAATTGGAATCTTTTTCATGTACAATTTTTTTTTCTAAGAATATATTTCTTACACCTTCGAATAATAGTTCTTTGGCTCTTGTGTCTCTGTGAGGCTTGTTGTCATGTTCTGTGAGAAATCAAAACAACTACAATCTGTCCTACCAGACATGGCGGCAGCCTGTGGTTCAGGAGCTGGAGCTGAGTATTTCCATCATCATACACTCTTTAAAAGGTGGTTCTTAAAGGGTTCTTTGGTAAAGAAAATAGTTCTATATAAAACCAGGAACACTCAAAGAACCCTTTTCATGATTAAAGGGTTCTGTTTATCGTGAAATGGTTCTTTAGATTGATGGAGAATGGTTCTATATACAACCTGTAAAGATAAAAGAAAGATAGTAGCCCAATTCAGGGGCTGCGTCCTTCGGAGGCTGCATTTGAAGGCCAATTGCGTCACAGCAGCGCGACTAGGCTGTCCCATTTTGAAGGCTCCTTCATAGACGGCCAAGAAATGTGTCCTACTTTTCCATGGCAACAAATGATCCAAAGGGTGGATCCTTCACCATCCAACATATCAGTTCACTGCGTGCCGGTGAGGATTCGAGAACATGGCGGCGTCAGCAGAGGAGCGAACGGCGGCTGAGGAGACACTTTAAAAGTAAGTACTGGGTTTAAACTGAGTCGAATAGCTACTGATGCAGATGTTAAAGCTAATGTGGTCTGAAGAAAACTTATGCTAACGTTTTGTTTTGTTTTAGGGAGCAAAGAGCCGACAGAGAGACGCATCTCCAGCTCTAATAAATGAAAAAAAGGAAATAAAATCAAAGTTTCTGACTCTGTCTTTAAAGAACTTTAAAAGAACCTGAAAGGAGCGGCGTTCGTGACGCAGCGGTGAGGGCGGGAACAGGGGTGCTGTGATGCAAACAGGAAATCCACCGTAGAGCAGACCGTCTCATTTCGGTTCAGCCTTCACGAATCTACACAGCCTTCGAAGGACATGGCTTCATAGACTACGTCCCTTGAAGGATGCAGCCCCTAAATTGGGACACAGCTACTGATTTCACAATATTCCTCGAAGGTGACGGTGTTAAAGTTGGCTTCCTATCACATCTTCCTGTTCCACCTTAAACCATGCAACAGTTCCCTCCTGTGCCGACATCTGATTCAAACATGCTACCTTTGTGCGGCATGAGCAATACGTACAGTGTTTGTGCTGCATTGAGGAGCAGTGAGAAAGTTAGATGAGTAAATAAGTTACAGTTAAATCAGCCACTTTGCCCAATAAAAATAAAGTTTATAAAAGTGCACAGTACATTTGTTTACCCTCGCCAGCATTCTGACTTGTGAAGGGCGATGGTTTTAAGTATGGTAGACTGTTAGACAAACTGGGAAATCTGTGTATAGCCTGGAATGTTTCACTAGTATTTCATTTGATAACAATCATGAATTAAATTACAGAATTACAGAATGTTTAAGTTTTTATTCAATTTTGTGGTTGATTTTCATGGCTTATTTCAGTGCATTTTGCTGCGTGACGCACACAGCGTCTTTTCTCTAAATGCCACCCTGCTTCTGTGCCACTTCGCTGATGTAGCCTGTGTGAAAGCACTGACGTCAACACGAGTGCCAAAAAAAAAATCAAGATGTTCCATGTTGCTCACGCGACAGCGAGCCACAGAGTGCGCACATCACAGCGAGCACCAGAGTGAGCAGCCTAAGTTAAACCGTTTTATTTTTAATGCTGCTGGTCTTCCACCATGCCTACATTTACCTCTCCACACAGCTGCGAAAGCTGTGCCTGTCTGTCCCAGAGTTGAAAGGCAGAATCATGCTTCTGCACCAAATCAAGAAGGATGAGAACTTGATAGATTCTATGTTAGCCACAGCTCAGACCCTGGCTTTACCAAAGTCTTAGGTGCGCAAAAGTAGTGGAATGTATGAATAAAATAGTAGATAAATGTTATCTTCATCACTACTTTCCAAAACCGCTGCAGCAGCTTCAGCAGCTGTAAACTCTCTGCACTCTCTGTAAACTCTCTGCTCTCTTTCACATGAGTCTCCGATGTGGACTGAATGAAGAATGAAGGGTTTCCTGCGTGATGGTCAGTCCTTAGGGATTTCCTGAGTGTCCATTGGTCAGTTTCACACAGAATGTAGACGGACACACGAATCCACCAGTTCCACACGGTGAGGGGCAGATGACGTGTATCTCAGCCCCTCTTCATAGGCTCATAACTCCGGATGTGAGTCTCGTATGATCTCGAGATAAGATGGAATGGAAAGGGCGACTCTACAGATTCAGGAAAGATATTAATAGGAACATCTAATTTGATGCGCCAACACATTTGTCGAGCCTCCTAGAGAGCATGTGAGACTTTGTTATGCTGGGTTTATGGAGGTTTTTTCAGTCTTCTCAATCCTAAGGGTAATTGTTATTTATCATTCAAATGATTTGTTAAGTGTTTGACACTTAATCGTAGATCTGTTTAATATCTTGATTTTTTGTCCAAATGTTTGTCTTTTTTCTCTGTAAGCTTAAAAATTGTCACTTTTAACTGTTCTCAGAGGAAAATTTTAACTTACAAATTTCGAATTCATTACAAATTCATTATTTGATTTCTGAATTTTATCAGACACTGGTCTTCCCATTTTACCAATCTCAACATTTCCATGTTCTTTAATAACAGAAATACATATAAATTTCCTGTCCCTCATGATTCCCTCTCGCATTATAAAAGTAGACAAACCTCAAGACCCACCAAGACCCTTTGATAAAGTTTATTGTTTAAACAAGAATTTTAAAAGAATAGTACAAAGCATGGTTCAATTAGACATGCATTTCTATTAATTTCTTATTATGTAATGCATTTTAAAGCCATAGTTACACTTCAAATATAATATGCAGCATACTTATCAACATAATACCTGGACCTGTATTCTGAAGAAAGATGGTTCTTCAAGGGTTCTTTAGTAAAGTAAATGGTAGTAAAATAAATGGTTCTATATAGAACCAGGAACACTTAAAGAACCCAAATTGATGGGTTCTTCAAATTATGTTTGTATATGGTTCTATACAGAACCTTTTTGAAAATGGTTTAATAGAGCACCCAAAAGGGTTCTTCTATTGTTCCAATGTCAAGCTATGTCCAATGTAACAATATGTCCAATGTAACAATAGAAGAACCCTGTTTCAGTGCTATACCTCATACCTATATAGAACCATCTGTAGCACATTCTCCATCAATCTGAAGAATGCTTTCACAATGCAAAGAACCCTTTAAGCATGCAAAGGGTTCAAGTGTTAATGGTTCTGAATAGAACCATTTTGTTTAATAAAGAACCCCTGAAGAACCATCATTTTTAAGAGTGTAGTAACAGCAAAATCTAGATAAAACAACAAGTTTCTTATTGCGATTATAAAACTGAATATGTAAATATGGGCTAGTGAACATAAGACTACAGAAATCAGCATTTTGTCAACGTTTAAGACCATCATTTAAACTTAAAATAAATAAAAAAATTAGTACATGTTCAGTCATTAAACAATAAACGAAATCAAATACGTTTAACTAGTTTTGAGTTGTTTGTATTTCTAATGTATAAGCCAAAGAACAGATCTGCTCTTGTTAAAACTATTAGAACTATTAAAACATGAACTATTAGCAACATAGTAAAACTTACAAGATGGTCATATTGATTTAAGGATTGGTAAAAACAAAAAATGATCTGATTCAATCGCATGTAAAATTTTAAGCTTGGTTTAATAGGCCCTTTTCACATGAGCATGTACAGCTTACTAAAGTGTTAGAGCTTGAAACAAAAACAGCCTCATCTCAGTTTCAGTGGTTTATCAGCTGATGATGAACAGAGGAAAACGAGTTCGTGCAGTGAAGGAATAAACTTTGTCGGACAGAGTAAAAGAACCTCTGTGTCTGTATTTCACCGCTGCTGACTGACATCACACTGAATGCAGTTTGTCCTTTAAAGTTCCTGCTGCAGCCACTTTCAGAGGAACAGTTTTCATTTTCTACCTCAAAAATGACCAGCAACTGAAAGAGCAAGTAAGCAAGAAAGAAGAGGGGATGCTACACAATGGTAGACACAGCCCTGCCCCAACTTTTTTTAGATGCGTTGCTGCCATCAAGTTCTAAATGAGTTAATATTTTTCATAAAATGGTAAAATGTCTCACTTTCAACATGTGATATGTGTTCTATGTTCTATTGTGAATAAAATATGGGATTTTAATTAAAGATTTTAATTTTAAACAGTGTCCCAACTTTTGGGGTTGTAGTTATTTTCACCTTTTCATCGATTTATTACCCTGTAGATGTTAGCTGATGTTACTGTACCCTGATAGCTGTAAAGGAATTTTTCCACAAATCGTTTATGTGCTTTATTTAGTTCGGACTCCCACATTGTTGTGTGTTTGGTTCTCCAACAGTTCTAGATTCATCCTCGAATTTCAGTCTTGGCAACTATGACAAAGATAGACTAAAACACCTTTCTGTGGTGGCTGAAGTGATGCGAACGCCTGTATTTATAAGGTTAATAACTGTCTGTAAGGCAATAGCAGAACTTGTTTTACCCAGTCTTTAAACACTTCTGTTTCTTGTGAAAAGGGCCTATTGCAAAACTTTCTACACTTGGTTATGATTTAAATGTCATAATGGTGAAGGTGCAGGCCAAATGTGTTATCAATGACTGTTGATTAATTGGCCTTAAAAAGTGGTTCCTCAGCTTCATCCCCAGTTTCAGTTTTACTCCCCACATTCCAGCATGCTTTCAGTACATCTTCAGCTGTGTCTGCTAAACCTCGAGCCACTTTTTTTGCTGTCTGTTTTTTGTTGTCAGCCGTCTTTGAAATTTCATAGCCTGATATTGCACCCTTCCCAGCTCCGTAAATAAAACAAACTCCAGCTCCAACTCCTGCTCCTATCCCAGTCCCAACTCCTGCACCCAGCACTGCTGCCTCTGCCAGGGCAGCTGTTGTAATCTCAGCAGTGACCCCTACTGCAGCACCAGCACCTGCAGCAGTAAAACCTGCTCCTATGTCTGCTCTCTCCACTGGTGCACCTCCAGCTTGTGGTCTTTGATGAGTTGCCTTTCTATATCCTGCCCTTATAAGACCTGCTACTAACACTACTGGTGCTGATACTCCAACTCCAACTCCCAAGAAAGCTCCTAGTAATATTCCTATGGTTACACCAGTCAACGGTCTCCCTATCTTGGTTCTGACTTTCTTTATTGCTCGCCTCCTGATCTCAACCACATCCATTTCTGTCACATCTCTGACCTCCCTTTTATCCTTCCCCTCCTCTATTATGTTATTCACTTCTTCTTTAATGGCTTCTCCAGTCGCTTCTAAAGCTTCGTTTTTGTAGGGCTCTCTGTTGTTTTCAATCAAAATTATATTTATGGACTTCATTAACTGGGCGATCTGAAATCTGTTGCTTCGGTAATCCCTGCTTTGGTCTCCACTTTCAACTTGCCATTCTGGCTGCATGTTATCATCTGGATCTGACATTATGTTAAACCATGGAATTTTATCCATTTGGTTTGCCTGAATTCCTGCAACAGAATTGTTCATAAACTGCCGAGGAATGTTTGGCCATTCTGGAACTCTGTTACTGTTATCCTTGTTCCAGTGTTTGTTGTCAATGACATGAACTCGATTTCCACATTTCTCAGCGAGATTTTTCAGTGTTTCCCCCTTAACATCAGACTGATTTATGAAGTCATGGATTGTCATGTTCTCGTCAAGATCATCACCGCGTGTGAAAAGCAACACCGTATGATGAAGAACATCATCACTGAAGTACTTTCGAAACTTCTCCACTGCTTCCTGGTTTTCCTTGGTGTATCTCGCTACCTCCAACACTAAAATAACAACATGAGGGCCAGGTGCACACTCTACGAGACATGATATTATCTCTTTCTTGAGTTCTTCCTCATCCTTCCTGTCGGTGTCAAAAATGCCAGGAGTGTCAATAAGAACAATTCTTCTGCCGTTGATTTCTTTTTCATGTCTTTCACAAATGCTTGTTTGACTTCGTGGTGAACAAACTGCTTTAAATACTGTCTCTCCAAGAATTGTGTTTCCAGCAGAACTTTTGCCAACTCCTGTTTTTCCCAGGAGTACAATCCTCACCTCATCTTCTCCTGAAAAACAACCAAACATATTCGTACAGCAGTATGAATTTGTCAAGTTATAAATATGTAGTAATTAAAAATAATACTTGTTTTTTTGCATCATGAAAGGGTTTTTCAGATTGATGGAGAATGTACTGTATATGGTTCTGTATTGAAAAGGGTTATATACAGCACCAAAAAGGGATTGAATGAACCATTTTGGTGCTGTATAGAACCCTTTTCCAAAAGGTTCTATATAGAACTGTCTACAGCACATTCTCCATCAATCTGAAAAACCCTTTCATGATGCAAAAAAACATTTAATCATGCAAAGGGTTCTTTGGGCATTCATGGTTCTGTATACCATTTTCTTTACTAGAAAAATGTACCACTAAGTAAGTACTTTTTTTTACCAGTACATTGATTCAAGATTAAGAGACCCTTATTAGTCCCACAACGGGGAAATTTCATTTCCGCATTTGACCCATTCGTGCAGTGAAACACCACATACACTATAGTGAGCACACTTGCCCGGAGTGACCGCAGCGCCCGGGGAGCAGTTGGGGGTTAGGTGCCTAGCTCAAGGGCACTTCAGTCACATACTGCCGGCTCAAGCCAGCGACCTTCCAGTCACAGGGCTGGTTCCCTAACCTCCAGCCCACGACTGCCCCCAAATGTTAATTCTAAAGTGTTCAGGCAAGGGGGCATCCAGATTTGAACTGGGGCCCTCTTGATCTGCAGTCACATGCTCTACCACTGAACTATACCCCCTGTCATTCATTCCATAATAATTGGTATTTTGAGGTATTGGTTATGCTCTTCATACCACTAAGACAGGAAAACAGGTTGTGACTGTGTGATAACTATGTGCAAGGTTATTTTAAAGTTTTGTTTACATCATATTACAGAGAGCTTACCAGTGTGTACCTGGTAGTATGTCTGGCTAATTTCTTCATATGAGGACAATAAGAGAACAGGTAGTTGCAATTACTGTGTACAAAGACACACATTATTTCATAGACTTAGTTACTAAGTTACTTACTTACTTACTAAGTATGCGCCAGGTATTAATTTTAAGTACTACTTATTCACCCATTAACTTTTGAATAAGTGCTGTTGTACTTACCTGGTAGTTTTTATGATATGTACTGAAAAATCACTTGTAAGTACTTCACTACTATTGTATACTGTTGGCTCATCACCAAACCAAAACCAAGCCAAACTAATATTCTTGGAGAAAGAGTTAAGTCTAAAAATGAAATGATGCCTTATTTGAATACAGAAATAGAATAATGGAAAAAAGCTGAAAAATGGAAAAAAGCTGAAAAAGTCAATTGCAAGCGTTTGTTCTTTAAAGGCAGTATAAGCGTATTTTACTTCATGAAAATGTCTAAATAAAACTTTTATTCCCAAAACATGAAGTATTTAGAAATTGCTAGGCTTCCACAAATGATGCATTGTTACAAATAAATAGATCTATGAAGAGCTTGTTAACAGTTATTAGGTAGTCTGTTAGGTTTGGGTACTTTTATTAGTCAATGATGATTAGGTAATATTTTCCAGTGAATAATATGACATTTGATACTTACTTTAAGAACCTTTTTACTGCTTTCACCCAAATTTTTAAATACCTACCATTAATTTCTCTGAAGGTATTCAATGTGTTGTCTTCATAGTCCACCTGTAAATAATAATAATAATAATAATAATAATCTTATATTACTTAGTATACATGTAAAACTGAAACAGTAATAACATTGTAATTAATATGCTAACATTAAGAATAATAATTTATTAATTGGGAAATGAATCCTTGAAAATGAGAATGTGACTCAATAAATAAGCATTTTGGATCAAGTGCAGGGATCCGAAATGCACTTTGTTTTCCCAGTTTTAGGTTCTGCTAGGTTTTAGTCAGCTACCAAATTTTAGAATCCTAAGGTCACCCCTTGATATTTAAATGTCATTTCAGAACTAACCCCCACAATCAAGACGTAAATAAGACCACACAAAGAACAATCTTAAGGATTTTTATGTGCCATGTACAGGGTGATTCAAAAAGATTCATCCAATTTCAAAGCCTCATATTTTTACAACTGTGAGGCGCCTAGGAACCAATCACAATCCAATTGAAAGAGGGGGTCATAGAGTTTCTGACTGTCAGTGGAAGATGGCTCCCTTCAGTCTGAGAGGAGATGAGACCCCTGAGCAGAAAGCGTTCTGCGTTCTCCACTTCAATAAGAGTGAATCTGTCATAACTGTGCAGTGTGATTTTCGTGGGCAGTGAACCTCCAACAGCTCAGAATGTTCGTCGTTGGTTCCACAACACTGGATGATCTCCGAAATCGCACTGAAAGAGCCGTGAGTGCAGCGACACCAGACATGATCAATCCAGTATGGGATGAGTTTGACTATGGCATTGATGTTGTCTGTACAGCTGGAGGAGGTTCATATTGAGCACTTGTACAATTACATAATAAACTTTATGCTCATTTAAACCATTTACAGTTTACTGCACTGATCTGTAATGATTTACAAGTGAATCAAATCATTTTGAAATCGGATGAATCTTTTTGAATCACCCTGTATTATGAGCTGAAGCAGGCCTGGTGCCATTATGTTTCAATTCAAAAAGAAATTGTCCAAAACAAATAGTCCCCTCCCTTTAAAATGAGGCCCATGAAGGGCAATATCAGGGGTAAACTTTGCCCAAAAGAAAGTACAGGTGAGACAGGTGGGTTCTCTGTCTCATTATGCTTGAGCCAAGTCTGAAGTGCCTCAAGAAACTTACCCACAAAGGAAAAAAGTTTATGTTGCTATTGATCTTAAGGTCATTGATTACTTTCACCAATGCAGTTTCAGTACTGTGGTTAGCTGTAAATCATATCAAATCATACAGGTTACATTCTGAAAGATTAATAAGTTATGTAACTGTCTGCAAACAGAATTCTCAAATATTTTACTGATGATAGGATTATTAGAAATTGGCCTGTAATTGCTAATAGTAAGGGGGTCAAGTAATTTACGATTCAGCAATTCACAGTGTTCAATGTTCATGCAGAAGACGAGTTAGAGGAAGCATTATTTCTACAAGAAAATCCTCTTTATTGCCGCACAGCAGAAAAGGATTACAGCCTAGATAGCAGGCGAGGTCATTACCAGCCATACGTCTTTGCTTCACGGTAGATACTTAACCTGAATACTTAGACCCACACCTCGGCGCAAAGTAACATAAGCAACACATCCACATAACTTAAACTAGTGAACATCAACATTAAACAATATAAAATGTCCCTTTTAATGGGGATGTGAGCCTCCCATGAGCACACAACAACCACACAAACACATTCCTGCCACGCTGCTATGTCACACCAGTTGGCTGTGTCTACTGATTATACCACATCTCCCCATCTCCGCTTTAAGTAACCAAAGTCTCGTTTTACATGCCAGAGGTTCGCCCTGAGTGAGGCTTGATCTCACAAACCTTATGTTAATAGTCAAGAGCGTTAAGAGACAAACCACCTGGCGGGCAATGAGGAACAGACTCAAGTGCAGAGCAACTCTGGGAAAAATAAACATCGAACACTCAATCACTGTGATCCCAGACTAATGTGTTATGCACCAAGCCACCGAAGGGGTAATGGCTGTATAAAACTCAAAGGCTTAAAAGATAAATTAACTGCCCAACACTGAACTTAAAAAAAACCCCTTCTTAATCTCTCCCTCGATACTCAAGGAGAACACTTAAGATATTTGTTTTTTTTATACTTATGCTGAGATTAACTAGAGAAAAACAAAAGGCTTGAAACTCGAGAGGGATACTGAAAATTACTAGTCAGAGTCATGATGTTTTTTTCTCTCTTAGGTTAGGCTACTGTGGAAAGAACATTCACAACAAGAACATTTACCAAACATTGAGCATCTGAGCACTGAGCATAGTGCTAGTCCAGAAAATTGTGGCCCACTGTCAGTAATCAATATCTCTAGAATGCTGTGTCAAGCAAATATTGATTTTAGGCATATTCTGGAAGACAGCTGAGCAATTTTGACATACATCAAATAGTAATCTATGTCTAGCAGGTAGTTCTGACTTTTCAGTGCTCTGGGTTTTTGTTGGCATAAGTGGTTATGATGATGTTAGGATACCCTAACGCATAACCAGGACTTCAGTACACCTGTTACCTTCATGGTCATTAAGGTGACTTTTATTATGGCCGACATTCACTGGAATAAATCTAAACGTCTACAACCCCATTTCCAAAAAAGTTGGGACGCTGTGCAAAATGTAAGTAAAAACAAAATGCAATGATGTCATGAAAAGACTATATGTCTATATATATGCTGCCGTCCAGACGACGTCTTTTTCAGGGAAGGCCTTGCTTATTTCAGCAAGCCGATGCCAAACCACATTCTGCATGTATTACAACAGCATTGCTCAGTATTAAGAGTTCAGGTGCTAAACTGACCTGCCTGCAGTCCAGACCTGTCACCACTGAAAACATTTGGCGCATTATGAATTAAAAAATACGACAAAGGAGACCCTGAACTGATGAGCAGCTGAAATCCTGTATCAAACAAGAATGGGAATACATTTCACTTTCAAAACTACAGCAGTGTCTCCTCAGTTCCCAAACGCTTACAGAGTGCTGTTAAAAGAGGTGATGGGGGGCTCCCAGTTGGCGCAACCATCTAAGTGTTTGCCTTTCATCAGGAGATCGTGAGTTCGATCCCTGGTGATGCTACAGCCATCCGTGGCCGGGAGTCCAAGAGCGCACAATTGGCTTTGCTCTCTGGGTGGGTAAGATTGCCCCCCTCTCCCCCCCATCACTCAACACAATGCTTGTCAGCGCAGGCATCTGTTAGCTGATGTAACCTCCGAGCACGTTCGGCTGTCCAATGATGTTGCGTGAGCCGAAAAGATGTGGTGGCTGGCTTCACAGGACCCAGAGGAAGCCTGTTTGCCCTCCTAACGCTGTTGGTATCGTGCGACTGGGGGAGTCTGAACTAGTGGGTGGGGAGAAAATGAGGAAAAATGCAAGAAAAAAGAGGCAATGAAACACTGGGGTAAACATAGCCCCGTCCCAACTTTTTTGGAATGTGTTGTTGGCATCAAATTCAAAATGGGCATATATTTTTCAAAAAACAATAACATTTCTCAGTTTCAACATTTGAAATGTTGTCTTTGTAGTATTTTCCTTTAAAAACATGGTTCACATGATTTGCATATTGCATATTTGCATATCATTGCATCCTATTTTTATGTACATTCTGCGCAGCGTCCCAACTTTTTGGTCCAGGGGAATCCAGGTGAGGTCCAGGGGAATCCAGGTGAGGTGGGATGCACTGTGTTATATAATGCTAGTTTATCAGTACTGTTTATATGTTGAATATGCACATGATTACATAATGAGAAATGGCCATACCGTGTGTGTGTGTATGTATGTAATATATGTGTATTGTTTGTTTTCTTGTCACCTCTGGATCTGAACAGTGATATGACCCGGATCAAAGATGGTGATTTGGGATGGTCTGTGTGGCTTCAGATGTATTTCAGCAGAATTGCACTAGTTCTGTTTGGAGAAATGACTGCCGGATGCTGACTGAGGAGTCAGTGGAGTCATTTATATACAACTTTGGTTTTTAAACTTTTCCTCACAATTGTAAATTGTGTGTACAGTTGCAGTAAACCTCAGAGCACTGGGAAATGGAGACCTGATGCCCAAGTGTAGTGAATTAGGAGCCTCCGGACCACCCACCCACCACAACATCATCTTTGAATCTTTGCAAAATTTATTCATTTGTTTGTCAAGCCAGACTCCATCAGTCATCAGTCATTTCATCATGCAAAGGGTTCTTTGAGTGTTCATGGTTCTATTTAGATCCATTTTCTTTACTAAAGAACCCCTGAAGAACCATCTTTTTTAAGAGTGTAGAAGAATATTGACATTTACACAGATCTTTCAATATATTACTCTTTTACCTTTACAAAAGGCTCCATCACTGTTGACAGTTTAGGACAGTAGTCTGCGTCTTCTCACCTGAAAAGAAGGACATGTTCTTTATTTCAGTGTTGCTCAATCTTGTTCTTGTGCTACCATCAAGTCCTCTTCGGCAAGTTCCTACTTACAACTTCGGAGGCCATAAGTATGACTTGATAACCTCCCATGATTGAGTTAAGGTGGGTGTGTTGAATGTACAGGACAGTGGGCCTTCAGGACCAGGGTTGAGAAACATGGTCTTATTTCATTCAAACACACACTGATCAGGCATAACATTCTGAACGCCTCCTTGTTTCTACGCTCATTGTCCATTTTATCAGCTCCACTTACTATATAGGTGCACTTTGTAGTTCTACAGTTACAGACTGTAGTCCATCTGTTTCTCTGATACTTTGTTAGCCCCGTTTTACCCTGTTCTTCAGTGGTCAGGACCCCCATGGACCCTCACAGAGCAGGTACTGTTTGGGTGGTGGGTCATTCTCAGCACTGCAGTAACACTGACGTGGTGGTGCGTTAGTGTGTGTTGCGCTGGTCTGAGTCGATCAGACACAGCATATTTTTTCTCTGTGATGTGGGTGTGGCTGAAGTGTCGAGGAGCCAGGAACTCTGAAGACCAATCAGCTAGCTTTGAGCAGGGGGCTTTATTTCTATTGGTGGAGACCAGGGCTTAGTCACTTCTACAGCTTGTTTCGAGGGAAGATACTGTAACCGTGGTTGTTATATCTTTGCTTCAGCTCTGTTCACTTTTACATACCACTGAATGCTCAACACTGTATTTGGATCAGTCACTTGCCAGTTTCCTGTTTTATAGTGGCTGCAGCTGCAGACCGTTGAAGAAAGCCAGTTTCATTTGTGTATTTCCTTTAAATTAATACTTTCATTTTACAGCTGCAAAATGTTTGAAAGTGACTAAAATTGTATGATTAATTCCTTATTGAGACTACAATATCAGTTGTCAATAATGGTTACTGTTTAAACTGTTAACCAATTTACATTTCGTTATGTGTTACCTATTTTAATAATAAGCGATTAATTAGTCAAAATGTGCCCTTGTGCAAAAGTTTTGCACCCCTGGTCAAGTTTTTATGATGCGTGTAAATAAGTGAACACATCCTCTACAGAGACACACTTCTGCACATTTTAATGCACAATCACTGTTTATCTACTGGAGAAAAAAAATAAAACGTGGCCTTTGCAAAAGTTATGGCACATTTAATATTGTATGACATTTTTTCCCAATATGTTAAACTTGAAAAAAAGACTAAAATTAGCAGAAAATTGCATTTAATGTTGTTCCCTGTTCACTCTCAGAAATAAAGGTACCAAACTGTCTCTGGGGTGGAACCCTCAAGGGTCCATCTCAGTACCTTTAGTCAGGGAACATAACTGAACCATAATCCACTGAAATGATATGTTCTAAGCTGTACTGACTCCACACACCCCGTCTCGCCTCCAGGCTTTTATTTTACTGTTCTGTTTAAAACATTCGGTTATGAAAAGGTACAAATACAAACTTTTCACCTGGAAAAACTTATTTAAGGTTCACAATCAGGCCTTAAAACCACTGTTGTACCTTTGGGGGAACATTTACACTGTTTGTGCCTTGAAGAACGAAAAATGTACCTTTTTTTGTTAATCCACAAATTTGTTACCATCCTGTAATTTTCCTAGATGTACACAATGGGCTTGTCATGAAGGTTAATTGCTGATAAGTCCTGCCTTGTTATCATTATTTAGAACCACACTGATTAAAGATTACTAAACAAAACCCCTTTAAAAGATAAAACATGAGCCCATCAGAACGCATCCGTTTTGCTCAAGTGTCAAATATACATTTCAAGATAAACTGTGGTTTTAAACAAACATTAAAAACATAATCATTCTCTTCATAGAGGGGTAACTGTCTTACCTTTGAAAATTAATGTGTCGCTGGTCACTCGTATATTGGTGTTGAGGTCTCAGTAGAGTGATGAGTCTTCTGATACTGGGTGTGTACTGAAACAGAAAGTTTCCTTCCTGTCAAGACTAGGAGGAGGTGTTTTTACATGTGGGTTCTGTTCAACACAGAAAAAAGGCCCCATAACCAACTGCATGAAAGATATATATCTATATATATATATATGTATATATGTATAGTATATATATATATATATATATATCTAAAATGGTAATTTTACAGGAGAGGCAAAAAACATACTTTACTTTTAATGTATGTCAATGGAACAAAATGGAGACACAGTGTTTTGCTCTGAGAGCAGCGAGATATATATATATATATATATATACATATATATATATTATATATAAATAATATTTAAAGTATAATGTATAGCAAATTATTTCAAAATGTAGATATTAGTTCCCTTTAGATCAGCACTGTGTTTTTACAATAACATAAAAGCCAGTGGCACCCAGTGTTTCACTCAGAACACAAATACAGCAGCAATTTTTACAGTGATTATTATACTAACAGCAACAAATGAAAACAAAACACACCTTTGATTTTCAGATAATAATCCTATATATTTATATACAGTGGACTGCAAAAGTCTGACACCACGAGTGAAAAGCCTTCTCTTTTGCACTCCTTTCTAATGTAATACAAAATTTTTATTACAAATTTTTACATTTTACATTTACAGCATTTAGCAGACATTCTTATCCAGTGCGACTTACAAAAAGTGCTTTGTCTATCCAGAGAAAGTATCTTTGCTAGTTACCAGTAGGTTAGAGAGAAAGCTAGTCCTGAGCTCAGATACTGCTAGAAGCAAAAAGTCACCGTTGGTACCCAGAGAAAAAGGAACAGAGTTAAACACAACAGTGCAATACAATACAATACATAAGTGCAGTACAATACATTACAAAGAATACAAATGATATTATCAGCATAACAATCTGAGTGAAAAGTAGAATCTTTGAATATTGTTTTACTGACGCTCGACCTGCTATGACCTCCACGAGTTTTTACACAAGCCTCTGCTGAGCGGATCAAATTCACCTGAAAGTCGTCTGAACATGAGCTGGACGAGATCAGACTAAAGAACTAGTCTGTGCTTTTTGTACAAAGCACTCGACATGGTCAGTGTCACAAACGTGCTTAAATTTTAATAAGGACCAAGAAACAGTGCAGAATCTTCAGTTCTTCTTTATTTTGTTTGTTAAAACTGTCTTCTTTTAAGTTCTTATTTTCTTTTTTTCTCAACTTTCAGTTATCTCTAAACATCTCAGTTATGAACCTAGAATGTTTAGAAATAGTGGGAACTTCACAATCAGCACAGCGAAAAAAGGAACTAACTTATCAGTGAGTGTGTTTACATTCACTTAATAATCCAATAACTGCAGAAAATCTGATTTTCTTAGTAATCTGATCAATGCATTTATATGCACTTGAGTAATCAGATAATGGGGAAACTCCAGGTCTACATGAGTCAGATTTCTGCTTTACAACCAGCCAATAAACTCACCGAAGAAGACGCGACGTAAACATAACGTGAAACTCAAACTTCATGTGGCGGCTTTTTTTTAAACATTGCATCACTTTACCTAAAAATATGAACAAACATCATCTGGAAGATGAAGAATATTTAAATCCTTCATTTCGTCAAGCATCTCTGCGAAAGAGACCGCGGTACCAGAAATAAGAAGCAGCGTCGCCGCAAGACGCAGCGAAACACTTTTGGAGCGACGCTGCTTCTTATTTCTGGTACCGCAGTCTGTTTTCGCACATGCTCAGACTGAGAAATCTGAAAGAAATCAGAGTAAGAGTTTACAGCACTGAGAAATCTGATTACTGAGCTAAAATCCAGCCTCTTTATCAGATTTCTTAATCAGATTTCTAGATCGGAGTATGGTGTTTAGAAGACCATGACTGCAGAAATCCGATTATGATCAGATTATTGAGTGCGTGTAAACATACTCATTGTGTTATGGCCGATTATAATCTTGATGGTCTTCGCATCTTTCCTAAACATCCACTTCAGTTTCTCCTCTGATACATGCTTAGCAACCAATTCCCTGTCCGCCATGCACCTCGATCAAGCTTTCAAGGTGTTCTTAGCAGTGAACTTACATTCCTGTAAATGTCCTTTTTAATTTGAAGCTCCATATATTCGAGAGACGTACCTGTAAAAGCGAGAGCTGAGACTAAGACAGAGCAGAGGACGCCCAAAGCTGAATATAAAAGGTCAGCTTTGTAGGGAAGTGCTGCATTAGTCGTTAATTGAACCCCTGCTCTTGCTAATGTTTGCATAATCTTACAATTCTTTTGTGTCATTTGGAAAAAAACATGCGTTTATAGTATAAGTGTCCAACACTTTGCTCACTGTACTGCCATTGTGGTGCTGTACGGCTCTAAAGTAACCTGCTGTAATATCATACAAAATTCCTGACCACCAAATAAGGTAGCCAGGTAGGAGCCCACCAGACATTTGTGCCTAGGGGCCAAAAATGATGATCCAGGCCTGCTTGTAGTTTGTTAGCCCCCTTTTAACCTCTTCTTCAATGGCCAGGACCCCCATGGACCCCCACAGAGCAGGTATTATTTGGGTGATGGATCATTCTCAGCACTGCAGTAACACTGACGTGGTGTTGGTGTGTTAGTGTGTGTTGTGCTGGTGCGAGTAGATCGGACACAGCAGTGAACATGCAGAGCTTTTCTCAAACTGCTAATGCTGCACAATACATTCCCGAAATGAAGAGAGTTTAGTATTATAATAGCACAAAGACAGCATAGCATGCTTACAGGATTTTATTAGGTATGTATGTAACAGCGTGTGAACATGTAAATGGAAAACATTAAACATTGGTGTGGATTATAAAGGTGACGAGATTAGGCTCAGGTTATCTTAGAACTTGGCTAAAAAGGATCATAGACACCTGAACGGTAGAGCACATAGAGCATCTGCACCTCCCCTTTAAGTAGAGGAGTGTCATACATGGAGCATTCTACCAAATTAGTTGAAACCATTGCAAAAACAATAAAGTTTTCAGACTTTAGATTTTTTACAAGGATCTATCTGAGCCCAAGGTATTAATAGAGATAGGAATGTGCTAAATATATACAAAATTATCATTCACAGGGTTCTTTCTTCACTTTTGGGTGGTGTCTGTCCCAAACCCTAACCCTAAATTTACACTTGTGCTACACCATTTTGATTACTGGAAGTTTAAGAGCGCATTGACGACTCATCCAGGAGGTCACAAAAGAACCCAGATGAACATCTAAAGTGCTGCAGGCCTCACTTGCCTCAATTAAGGTCAATGTACACGATTCCACAATGAGAAAGACAGCAGGCAAAAATGGCATCCATGGGAGAGCTGCAAGGCGCAAACCACTGCTGACCAAAAAGAACACAAAGGCTTGTCTTGCATTTGCCAAAAAACATCCAGATGACACCCAATACTTCAGAGATAGAGTTCTGTGGACTGATGACTCAAAGGTGGAACTTTTTGGAAGATATGGTCCCTTTACATCTGACATAAAGAACATGATAGCAACAGCGAAGCATGGTGATGGTAGTGTGATGGTCTGGGGCTGCTTTGCTTCTGCAGGACCTGCACAACTTATCATAATAGAGAGAACCATGAATTCTGCTCTCTATCAGAAAATCCTGAAGGAGAATGTCCATCTGTCAGTTTGTGACCTAAAGCTCAAGAGCAGTTGGGTTATGCAGTAGGTCAATGATCCAAAACACACAAGCAAGTCCACCTCTAAATGGCTCAAAAGAAACAAAATTGAGGTTTTGGAGCGGCCGAAGTCTGGATCGGCAAAGTCTTCACCTGAATCCCATTTCAAGACCTTAAACTGGCAGTTTAGGCTCGAACATCCTCCAGTGTAGCTGAATTAAAACAGTTCTTTAAAGAAGAGTGGGCCAAAATTCCTCCACAGTGACTCAGCGCAAGTTATCGCAATCATTTGATTGCAGTTGTCACTGCTGAGGACGTCACAACCAGCTATTAGGTTTAGGGGTGATTACTCTTTCACACGGGTGACACAGGCTTTGATTTCTATTAAAATTAGTTGGATGATCTGAAACATTTAAATGTGACAAATTAGCAAAATGAGAAGAAATCAGGTGAGGGGCAAATACTTTTATAAGACACTGTATACATAATTTCTAACTTCATATAGTAATATTAGTGATTTGATTTCTAAAGTTTTTAATAAATGTGATTTCTTTCCTTTAGATATTGGCAGCAACCAGTATTTAAATGAGATCAAGCACTTTAAATCTGCAGATTCATTTTTCTTTTTGTTTCATGTCTCAGTTCATCGTGTCTTTGATCAGTTTTGTTTTTTGTTCTCACAAACCAGAAAGAGGTGTTGTTAACTGTTAGACTTACTTTGTCTGCACCGTCAATAGTCTAACCGAGCTGTGGTTCTTCTGTGGTTTCGTCAGTTCGTTTTGTAAGTTTCGATTGGCCAATGATAGCTCATTGCAAATTCTTCTGCGAACATAGTTTCAGAAGTAAACCAGCAACGTCCTGCCAAGCCACCACAGAAGTTTTCTTCAGCAGACTGGTGTGGAACTGCAGCCTGACGTCACCAGCCACTGCAGAAAAACTAAAAGAACCTGCCATCTTTGTGAGGGGCTGACCCAGGCCAGCTGTGGTTCACTGTATTCACTCATCCAGGCCAGTTTTTGTGGTGCTTCTAGGGTAACGTCTCCCGGGGGCTCCGCTGTAACCCAAGGACCACCCTCTAACCATCACGCAGGACCCACAGCTCTTGGCCACCAACTTCTGTACATAATTCCGTCTTGGTGCTGTTACTCTGTTCCCTTTTTAAAGACCTAGATCACTCTTTACATTCCCATAAAATAGCTATTTATGAGTTTCAGTACAGTATATTCATCTGGTCAACCTCATCTCTCTAGTTTCTCTTCTATTCATCACCTATTAATCCATCATTTAGTGCATATTTATCTTATTAATAATAATATCCAGTCAATAAAAGACCTTTTATTAAAGGTATTCTGTGCTTGGTTGGGTGTGTAATCATCACACTCTAGTCAACCCTGGCCATAGGAAAACGCTAACCTGAGGGGAAGTTCAAAATAAGTTATGTTTATGGCATAAATGTGAAATAAGTGAATTAAGTGGTGATCACCCGCTACAAGAACTAAGACACTAAACAACCTTTATGACTCTCAAAGAACACAGCTGTGTGTTTTCCCAGATCTTCTCTTTCCGCTTAACTGTACCATCCCAAAGTAATGAAACCACCTCCACCTCCAGCCTCTTTTCACTGAGGCTCCCTGTGAAATCTGTTTTCCAACATTATGGAACTCTCGCCACTGCCACATCGGAACTCAACCGTTTCATCGGGTCCATATTAAGTCCTTTTTCATTTAATTTGCGTTCTTGGAATATCTGAATTTTAGTCATTGGAGCCTTGAATTATGTTCCCTCGAATTATGTCTGTCTCTACTATAGGAAACAAGAATGTCTTAGTTATGACTGTTTAGCAGCCAAGTATAGTTTCAAAATTGCATGTGTTTGTTTATTATATTATTCTTTGCTGTTTTTATGTCCGTTATAGAGGAGGTAATTCTCTCCCTCAAAAATCTGTTTGCTCGTTACTAAGAGTAATACTCTGTATGAAACTCTATCCCCAGCATGCCTCTTTGTCTCTCTTAGGAGTAAACGTTCTCATAGCCTAGTAAACATATATGCATAAACTTGAATTCAAACTCAGATGCTTAAATCTAAAACATTCATTTGGTTAAAAAAAAGGCTGATTTATAAAAATTAAAACTCATTTATGTTAAACTGTTTCTGGTAAGATGGGAGTAGAACCGCCTTGGGTTTGACGACACGAATCAGCAAGCAAGGCATCCGATAGCCTGGAATATGATACACTAGCTCCATACCAAATCCCCGCCCAGGAGGTGTGGCTTGGACCCAGTCTCACAGGGACTCATGCATTTTCATTTAGAGAATAGAGGAAAGAAAAAGAGAAAGAAAGTCTTCAGAGAATTTGTGTCATTTGTCCATTTGTCTTTTTTTCCCGTATTTTCTCCCTAATTTAGTCGTCTCCAATTCCACCCGCTAGTTAGGACTCCCCCAATCACACGATACTACCGATGCTAGGAGGGTGAAGGCGAACACAGGCTTCCTCCGAGTCCAGTGAAGCGCTACCGCATCTTTTCAAACTGCCGCTCCCGCAACGTCATTGGACAGCTGAACGCGCTCGGAGGAGAACGCTAACCACCAGTTCTGTTACGTCAGCTAACAGACGCCTGCGCTGACTAGCATCGCGTTGGGTGATGCGGGAGTAGGGGGGCCATCCTACCCACCCAGATAGAGCGATGCCAATCGTTCTCTCTTGGACTCCCAGCTACGGATGGCTGTAGCATCACCAGGAATCAAACTTGCGATTTCCTGATGACAGAGCCAACACTGTTGCGCCACTCGGGAGCCCATATTTGTCCTGTATTAATCGCAAATTCACTCAACACCTTTGTTGGGATCTAGAAACCTACCGGTGACCAATGATAAGTTTTGACATCCTAATCCTAGCTGTAAAATGTAGAGAAAGTGTAGAAGAGTTGATCCCGGAGCCCAGACAGAACTTTGGAGTAGTCTGCATGAGCAATGCGGCTTAAGTGAAACCAGGATCCTTTTGGGAACCAGCCCGCAGAGTCTGCTGTGCACTTTGTCCCTCACTAGCTGGGAAAACTGCCTCGCCATCAGTGGAGCTCCAGGCCAGGTCTAACCGTCCAGTCTTGTGCTTGCAGAAGCCGACGAGAAGCCCTAAATAATTTGTGTATTCTGTGCTTCATTTCCTGTATTAGAGCCATATATGCCAACCTGCTGATTAGACCAAAAGCTCCATTTATGTTGTTCATTTTTACCAGTTAACCAGTTGACGAAGCTGAAGTTGGTTTCCTATTCAGATTTTCCCGTTCCACCTTAAATTGTGCAGCAGTTCCACTCTGCACCTAAACGTAACATCCTCACAGTTTAAGGTAGAACAGGAAAATATGAACTAGCTGGTGAATAACAAGCCGATTTCAGCTTCATGGAGAGTTAAAAGGCATGAAAAGGGATGAGGAGGCTGCTCTGTTTCTGCTTGGCAGGTGGGCAACATTAACTTGACATTATTAACTCACAGAATGAATAGATCAGTATCGTTTTGTTCCGTTTTCTCATGTTTGTAATGGCAACTTGTTATCTTCGCAGCAGCAACTGTAGTGACAGTTTGCTAACTCACAGCATAGCTACCATTAGATACATTACTTGTGTCCTTGTTCACTCGAACGTTATATGATGGTATTTATCCATCTAATGTTCATGAAGGGTTTTATGGCCACAAACATCTAAAAAAACAAGTTTGCTAGCCCAGTGTTGGTTGCCTTGGCAATGTGCATCCATGAATTTGGGGGGTGGAGCTTCTGAAGGAGCACTGAAGGGAGGGGTGTTTGTTTTGCTGTTGAGTTCAAATATCAACAATAGTTCTACAGAAGCGTAAAAATTAAACCTTTCAGGGTCTCACAGAGAAAATGGTAAATCCAGCTAGCTATGACTTGCATTCAACCTGTTTGGTGAAATATGACACTTTCCACAAAAAGTGAACTATAATAATAATAATAATAATAGACAATGAATGTGCGTTCATTAGTTACTGACTAGTGTCATTTGCAAACGAGTCGGCTCTTTTAGGTGAATTTTAGAAGCTGACCTGAAACAGGGGGGTTCGCACAGTTACTTACATCCTAATTTCCGCCACATTCTTTACCTTTTAGCACAGTTTTAAACATTAGCTTTGTAAGCCACTCAAAAGGTTTCAAAAAATAGTTATGCTGTAGCTTTTTTGAGAAAAAAACAAATTGAAGTTCCTGTGTGGTTTGAAAAACATCAACAACAACGTCACTATTTTTTATAATTAGTATTATTATTTATAACATTAATGTTATATTATTTATGACAACAAAATACGTGTCAACAGTCTGTAGTTTGGGCAGGCGTGCTTTTATTTGACACTTTTGATTAGCATTTAAAAGCTCCTGAATTAATTCACCACTTAATCCACAGTTTTGTCTCCAGTATGAATTATCATGTGAATATTAAAGTCTGCTAATGTTGACGATTTCTCTCCACACTGAAAACAGATGAAGGGCTTCTCTCCGGTGTGAATCAGCTGGTGTACTTTTAACTCTGAAAGATGTGTGAAGCTCTCCTCACAGTGAGAGCACGGATGAGGTTTGTGTTTTCTATGAACGGTCATGTGCCTTTTCAGAGCGTTCATGGTGGTGCAGCTCTTCCCGCACTGAGTGCAGGTCAGCGGGTTTTCACCGGTATGAATCATCATGTGGGCTTTAAGATACCTTGATTTTGAAAAGCCTTTCCCGCACTGAGAGCAGGTGAAACGCTTTTCTCCAGTGTGAACCTTCATGTGGAGTTTAACGTAACGTGACGTTGAAAAGCCTTTTCCACACAGGTAGCATGTGAACGGCTTTCCTACCGTATGAATCATCATGTGGTTTTTAAGGTTTTTAGAGCCCGAGAAACTTTTTCCGCACTCAGAGCAGGTGAAAGGCTTCTCTCCGGTGTGAATCGCCATGTGGCTTTTGTAGGTGGCCGACGTCAAAAAACTCTCCTCACACCGAGAGCAGGTAAGAGGATTTTCTCCGGTATGAATCTTCATGTGGGATTTGAGGTATTTCGATTTCGAAAAACCCTGTCCACACTCAGAGCAGGGGAAACGCTTTTCTCCGGTATGAATCATCATGTGGGTTTTAAGGTATCTCGATGCTGAAAAACCTTTTCCGCACTCAGAGCAGATGAACGGCTTCTCTCCGGTATGAATCATCACGTGGGTCTTCAGGTTGCTTGACTCCGAAAAACTCTTCCCGCACTCGGAGCAGCTGAAAGGCTTTTCTCCGGTATGAATCATCATGTGGCTTCTGTAGTGGGTGGATGTCAAAAAGCTCTTTCCACACTGACTGCAGGTGAACGGTCTCTCTCCGGTATGAATCCTCATGTGAGTTTTAAGGTGGCTTGAGTTTGTAAAACCTTTCCCGCACTGAATGCAGGTGAAGGGCTTTTCACCAGTGTGCATCATCATGTGAGTTTTAAGGTGGGTTGACTGGGTAAAACTTTTTCCGCACTCGGAGCAGGTGTACGGCTTTTCTCCAGTATGAATCATCATGTGGGTTTTGAGGTGGGTTAAATTAAACAAACTCTTCCCACACTGAGTACAGGTGAAAGGTCTTTCTCCAGTATGAATCCTCATGTGGGTTTTAAGGTACTGTGATGTGGTGAAACCTTTTCCACACTCAGAGCAGCTGAACGGCTTTTCTGCAGGTTCTTCTACAGTGTGTATTCTCAGGTGATCGTTTGGGTCAAGGGCATCACTGGAGCTTGTTTCGTGCTCTGTCTTTAGGCCAGATTCTTCCTGAAATGGCTTCACTTCCACTTTATACTCCTCCTTAATGTCTTCTAGTAATATGGTTTCTGCAATAAAAAGAAGAAAACAGGTTCATGAATGGTAGTGACACAATTGCTATAGTTCTAGACTCAGTGAACAGTCTACATAAACAACATTGAGATTTTCCATACCTAGGGCCGCTTGCTCTGCGAGTTCGGTTCATTTGATTAAGCGTGAAATAGGGCTGAACGATTTGGGGAAAATATCTTAATTGCGATTTTCGAATATTCCAAATGCAGTTTAAATTGCGATTATCTTCTAGAAATTGAGGTTCAGGCGTTTTTTGCCAAGAAGACTAGAATATCAACCTTTTTTTGGCTTGAGGCTCGACCCCTGAATGTAGTGTGCCAGACTGCCAGTAAGTTGTGGTTGTGATCTCACAATACATGGAGATTTGGCTGTCTCCGATTGATCTACTTTACCTGCAGACAGTTGAGCAGTAGGTCTGTGTTACTAGGTTAAATTTCCCCACTTAAAATTTGAGATTGTGTTTTTGATAATGTAGACTATAACATTTTAAAAAATTGCTGCCCGTGCGATTTGAAAATTGCACTCGGCAAAAATTGTCATTTTGATATAAAAATGATTCATCTATCAACCCCAGCGTGAAAGCTGTTTTTGAGCTCGGGAGTGATCCAGAAAACCGATCTTTAGCCCTCTTAAAAATCAGTGGTCTGGGATTCACATCCAGAAAACTCTGGAGTGTTTCGCTGCGCGTGTGGAAGCGATCTGCTCTGGGCACCGCAAGTGGGGCTGGTGATTGGTTCATTTTGTAACGTGACTGCTTCGGCTTATCACTTCACTTCTCTTTTCGAGTTCCGTGATGACGAGAGAGGACTGCTGTGGACAGAAAGCTCTGTCTTTCACTACTTGAGTGTTTGTATCCAAAGAAAATAATAAAAGCAGCAAATGGATGAAGCTGCCAACAATTCTGCAGACCTGCTTGCAGAAAAGTGACGTATGGAACTGCGCAATCAATCCACGGTTTGATGGAATCCTTAGGTGCAAAAGCAGCTCAGCGATAATGAGCCCCACCCCCAAACGAGCCCAGAATCGATGCTGAGTGCTGACTCAGGTATTTGGGACAAGTGTGAAAACACCCTTAAAACATCAAACATGAGTTTCCAACACAACAGTAGAGCTGGAATTTTTTGTCCGATCATATTAAATACGTCAAGTTTGGATCATTTCTAAACGATATGTTGGGCTTGTGTCACAATTTCCCATTTGGGTTTCTCAAAGACTGTCTTCCACATTTAATGGATAATGGCTGTCATTGTGGATAGATAGATAGATAGATAGATAGATAGATAGATAGATCACTTTATTAATCCCAGAGTAAAAGTCTTTATAGAGATGCATAAGTAGAACAAATAAAGACATAATAAAATGTATTAAAACAACGATAAAAATACAATGTTCAGTACAAAAAGAAGTAGTAAAATAGCATAAATACTATGCATTTTGACAATGCAGTGGTACATGACTCCTCCACTGAATGAACTGATTCACTGTAGCTAGATAACTTAACAGTAGCCACGTTTACATGCAGCCCGATAATCCGTTAATAATCTGACTAATAGCTCAATCGGAATAGAATACGTCCATGTAGCCTCATTATGCTGGTAATGAACTATGCAGCTGACACAGCTGCCTAAAAACCAGAGAAACGGACCTTAAACAGAAGTGAGGACCCTGTTGAGGTTCATCCTAAAGTTAGGACAGGATTTAGGAGGTTTAGTCTAGTTAGGGATGTTTGTGTGATGCTGTTTTCTTATCTGGGGTTAATGATGAGATTATGAAGTTAGGAACTGTTATTCTGGAATAGATACTGTGCTAAATGTAAGATGTTTTGGCCCCTGATGCACATACTGACCTTCCTTCACCTCCTCGTCTTCAGTCTTCAGTTCAGACACCTCCATGACACTGATGTCCTCACATTCCTCTTTAACACACAACATTTTGATGTATTTTCCAGAGTGAATAGTTTCTGTGACAGAAAACAAATAAACAAAGTTAGCAAACCTTCATAAATAAGCACAGAACTCCCACAGCTCACTTCTCAGCAATGGGTGAAGCAAGTTGGGAGAATCGAAACAAAAAATCAGATTAATTTGTACATTAATTCCTAAAAAATATGAGAATGGAATAATTGTTGCTTAAATCTCCCTAAATAGAAAAAGAAATCTATATTTTTAACATGGGAGGTTTGTAGTACATTATATTCAAAGTGTTTTAAAAACATTAACATTGATTCCTTTTCAAATGTATTAAATACATATATTATATATTTAAGATAAACGAAAAATAGCCCATCTCTCTATATAATATTACAGATAAATAACAGACAAAACGTAACAGACAAGTACTCTGTCCAATAGAAACCGAATTGATCTTCCATTCACTTGCTGGTCACGTTTCAGCGTTAAAACTACATTACCCATGATGCATTGCTGTACCTAGGAGTGAACCGTAGCCGTGGAAACCGAACGGAAAAATAATTCATTGATTGCTAACACGTTTTACGGTCCTTTAATGTTATAAACGCTGGACATAAACACAACAGACATTAAAAGGTGTCCGGTAATTAAAAAATACGTTTTATGAGCGCTTAATTTCTTTTTAGAACCAAAACACAGACAGAATATCAGCTTGCTAGGCTACGTTAGCCTGTTTGTTAGCGACTGCACAGCCTGAACAGCTTCGCTAAAGAAGGACTACCTTATACACGATAAACTGCCGTTTTATTTTACATAATCTACGATAAATTATATAAGTCTGTTTTATTTATTACAGTTCTACAGAGAAACATACCTCTCTTCCCTTAGGAACATACCATCACTGAAATGGGGGGGTCCGCACAGTTACTGATATCCTATAACCTCGCCTAAACATGTTATGTCCCTTAGGAACATACCATCACTGAAACAGGGGGGTCCACACAGTAACTGATATCAGAGGATAATCTGAACAGTATTGATTCATAACACACTTTACATTCTTAAACAGTGCGGCAAACATAAATAATACACATTAAAAAGTGCTATAGTAACGGGGAACGCGGTTTATGAGTAAACTGTTAGTTTTCAGAAACAAAACACATTTAAACAGCCTGCCGAGCTGAGCTATCCTGTTTGCTAGCAACTGCTAATCAACTTTTCTCATGAAGTACATGAATTACCTTTTTATTAAACACATAATTCTGTGGCAAACCATATAAAATCCAGAGGAACATAACATCACTAAAAAAAGAGGGGTGGAGGGCAAACAATGACTAATTTCTTGATGAGCTCAAAACATATATTATAATAGATAAACTAGACATTGTCTTCAGTCTACCCGTCAAGTCTACAGGTCTAGCTTACCTACTTACCAGCTTTCCTACTGCCCACAGACTGTGTTTTCCTGATGGGTTGATATCACAGTGTAAACGACTCTAAAGGTTGAACAGACATTCTGGGACTAATTCCAGACGCATTTAATGCTTTCCTAATGGGATCTAAAGGTGTCCCACAGGAAACTTGTGATTTCTAATGATGGAACTATAAGTCAAGCTTCCCAGCTGGTTCTGTAACATGTTTAGGCTTATCTTGATGGGCTGAAATCACAGTGTAAAGGACTCTGATGGTTTAACACACATTCTGGGACTAATTCCAGATGCATTTGATGGTTTTCCCTAATGGGATCTAAAGGTGTCCTACAGGAAACTCGTGGTCTCTAATGGTAACCACTGAGCCAATTCCCATTAGAAAGCAAAACCATCAGGTTTCAATCCTCATGGTTCTAATGGTCTTTTTCAGCAGGGTATTCTTCCTTCAATAGAGTTTGTCTGAAGCCCTGAATATTCCACCTCCAGTCGTTATTGGACCTACTATCATTGTGAAGAAGTTCCTGTGATGGGCATTCAGCTTTCACAGGGCTGACCACACTCCTGGAAGACAAACACTTGTCTTTCTCTTCGTCTTTTTGTTGAAAATACTGCAGATTTTTGTATGAGATGCATGAACTTGAGCTTTTAGTGCACTTGGTCTTAGGACAACCTCCCACAGCGGCTGTGGTGCTGAGGTTTCGCCCCAGCTGGTCGTCTCTCAAGGAGTGGGGTTGTTGTGAGAGCGGTGCCATTAGACATTATTAAACACATGAAAATAATTTTGACCAGTACTGAATTATAATACTTTTTGACATTTAAACAAGATGAAAACGCTAAAAAAGCTAGACAGCGAATCACCTTACCAGCTGCTTGTGTCCTAACATCAAAACCGTATTTAAAAATTAGAAAACAACACATGATTTTAGTTTTTATTCCCAACTACAAATTTCTTATACAAATCCCGAAGTAAGTAAACACCAACACGTCACTGAGCAGGTTTAAGTTCAAGTTTAAGATGAGTTTAGACATCTGTATAGTTGCAGAGCCAAATCCATCTCTTAAAAAGTATGATTCTACAAGAGTTCTTTAGTAAAGACTATGGTGCTATCTAGAACCACAAACAGCAAATTCTTCATTAATTCTTCAAATTAATGGAGAAATGTGCTGAATATGGTTCTATATAGCACCGAAAAGGGTTCTTCTATTTTCCAATGTCAAGCAACCATTTTCAGAGGAGTTCTATATAGAACCGTGTACAACGTGGTTCTATATAGAACTCTCTTGAAATGTTCATAGTTCATGGCTCTATATAGAACCAATGGGCCTTCATTCACCACTATCTTCCAAGTCTTTTCCTAAATTTGTTCTTGTGAAAGGTCCTAAAAAAGACAGTTTTCACCTTGTCTCCAGACCCAGGTCCACTTGCTTGTGAGTTCGGTACGTCTGGTCAAGTGTGAAATCTCCAGAGAACTTCTTCAACTTATTACGTCCCTTTTCAAGTTTCATAATGGGGGGTCGGACTGTTGTGGACATAAAGTGCCGCTCTTCACCGCTTCAGTGTTTGTTTCCAAGAAGAATAATAAACAGCAGCAAACGGATACATTTTGGTATGGATACACTCGTAACACTTTGGATATTTGGATAGTCCACTTTAGACGCTTTGTAGATACTTAGTTTACCTTCAAGTTACATTCAATTGAATATCTATTAAACTGACCATAATGTTCTTATCTCTAAACCTGGCTCTAATCTACCTTAACCTCAACCCAAAGCTAACCCAACCCTCACCCTGGTCCTAGCCCTAACCTTAAACTTAGCCCAAAACCGAAACCAACCCTCACCCTGGTCCTAGCCCTAACCCTGGTCCAAATCCTAACCCTAACCCCACCACTGTTTAGAACTGAGTTTCAACAGACAGTTTGTTACCATTTTGAACATGAATGGTTGAGAATGAGGCCCATTGTTTTTACTGAAGAACCCCTAAAGAACCGTCTTTTTAAGAGTGTCCCACTTAATCCAAAGATTTTTCTCCTTTATGGACCTTCATGATGGACAGTGCTGGGAATCTCTCTCCACACTGATTACAGGTAGACGCTTCATTATGTGTGAACCGTCATGTGATTGTCAAAGGCTTTCCTTCTCTTATAGGTCTTCCCACACTGAGAGCAGGTAAAGAGCTGTTCCCGGGTGTGAATCATTACGTGGGCTTTAAGGTGGCTTGTTTTTGAGAAACCTTTTCCGCACACAGAGCAGATAAAAGGTTTTTCTCTATTATGAATCATCATGTGTCTTTTAGCGTCGCTCGATTTGGAAAAACGCTTTCCGCAGCCGGAGCAGGTGAACGGCTTTTCTCCGGTATGAATCATCATGTGGGTTTTGTAGTGTGTTGACGTTAAAAAACTCTTCCCACACTGAGTGCAGGTAAAAGGCTTTTCTCCGGTATGAATCATGGTGTGGGCTTTCAGGTGGCTCGCGCTTGAAAACCCTTTTCCGCACTCGGAGCAGGAAAACGGCTTTTCTCCGGTATGAATCATCATGTGGAATTTGAAGTTTCTCTTTATTCGAAAAGTCTTCCCACACTGACAACAGATATAAGGCCTTTCTCCAGTGTGAATCCTTTGGTGCACCTTCAACTCGGAAAACCGCACAAAGCTCCTCCCGCACTGCGGGCACTGATGAGGTTTGTTTCCCGTATGTACGAACATGTGACCTGCTAAAGCGTTTGTCGTGGTGAAACCTGCCCCACACTGAGTGCAGGTAAAAGGCTTTTCTCCAGTATGAATCATCATGTGGGTTTTAAGGTGGCTCGACATTAAAAAACCTTTTCCACACTCAGAGCAGGTAAAAGGCTTCTCTCCGGTATGAATCATCATGTGGATTTTATAGTGGGCCGAGGTCAAGAAGCTCTTCCCACACTGGACGCAGGTAAAAGGCTTTTCTCCAGTATGAATCATCTTGTGAGTTTTGAGGTAGCTTGGCACTGAAAAGCCTTTTCCGCACTCAGAGCAGGTGAAGGGCTTTTCCCCAGTGTGAATCCTCATGTGGATTTTAAGGTCACTTGATTTTGAAAAGCCCTTTCCACACTCGGAGCAGGCGAACGGCTTTTCTCCAGTATGAGTCTTTTCATGTTTTCTTAAATGTGATACATTTTTGAAGCTCCACTCACACTGAGAGCACTGATGAGGTCTCGTTCCTTCATGGACGTCCATGTGGCGTTTCAGAGCTCTCTCAGAAGTGAAACTCTTTCCACACTGTGAACAGCTGAAAGCTTCTTCTCCAGTATGAATTCTCAGGGGATCTCTCTGTTGGGAGGAATCACTGAAGCTTCTTTCATGCTGAGCGGTTTGGTCAGATTTCTGTGCAGTACATTCTTCCACAAATGGCTTCACTTCCAGTTTGAACTCCTCTTTAATATCTTCTTGTAAAACTGTTCCTATAATAAAAGAAGAAATCATTTGCTGGTGTTCACAAAGCTTCTCAGAGTAAAACTGCTGATCTGGGATCAGATTTCTCTCTTATTTACTATCACCTCACTGACAGGAACAGGTCCTAGATCAGCACTCGTAGAGGAGCTCTAATTTCAACTTGGACAGATTTCCTGAGTAAGTTAGTTGTATATAGATTAACAAACGCAGCCGTGTTTACCTTGTTTTACAACGGTGTAACAACTTTCACTGTTAAACCAGGTTGAGATGGTCAAGGTGCGATGAGTCGCAGTGCGAACACACACAAACTTGCTGCTACCGTGTTACTACTTATTGGAGTAACAACTGCATTAACTGCTTATTTGTTCTCCAGCATTTATTTTCTGGGTTCATTCTGGAAAAGACTCTTATAGTGAAGGCAGAGCGAGTCTTTTGCTTTGACTGGTTCATGCTTAGTTCAGGAAGAGCTGCATCTGTCTATTGCTGTGAACTGTTAGCAAAAATATTCCATGTGTGAGGCAAGGCTGTGGCCACATAGAGCCTTCAATAAAGCCAATAGTTGGTGTAAAATCCCTGAAACAGGTTAGGTATGGAGCATAGCTTGCCACAGTAATCTCAATAAAATGTGCTTCAACATCAGACAGAATATCCAGAGTTAGATCAAATCAAGCTTAAAATGTAGCTGGTTGAGCTTTGTGAGACAGGCTGCTGGGTCAGGTGTACTGGGAGTGAGCTTAGAGCAAAAATGTGGATTGTACGGAGGACTCTGAGCACTGAGTTGAGAACCACTGATCTATCTCATCCACATAGTGTCCATACTGACCTTTCTTGTCTTCTGTCTTCAGTCTAGATGCCTCCATGATGCTGATGTCCTCACATTCCTCTTTAACACAAGACATCTTTACTAAACTGTGTCACCAAACACGCTGTGCCTGGTCAAAACCCTCAGCAACTGAAAAGAAACAAAAGAGAAAGAAGAATCTGATCAGCTGTGTCCTCTCAATGTTGAAACTGATGGACTGTCTGTGTGAAAGACTGTGAAAAGGTGTTTTACTTAACAATGATAATCAGTTGGGCACTAACTAAATCTGTAGTAATCTAATCTGTAAACTAATCCGACTGCCCTTTCGTCATAAACTTAAAGCCACAGGTGATCTGCTTTGGATTTTTTTGGAGTTTTATTGTAGTTCAGTGTCATTCATTTGTTAAATGGCCAGGCTAGCGTGTTTGCTAAAAAGCCACATAAAGTGAAATTGGCAGTGGTTGAGTGAAATATGCCAGTAATGCAGTGACATATGCCAGAATCTGAGTAAAATATGCCAATAATTCAATGAAATGTGAGAAATTGAGACAAATATGGTAATAACTGAGTGAAATATGCCAATACCTAAATGAAATATGTTAGTAATGTAGTGTAATGTGCCAATAATTCAGTTCGGTATGCCAGAAACTGAGTGAAATAAGCCAATAATTGAGTAAAATATGCTAATAATTCAGTGAAATATGCCAATACCTAAATGAAATATGCCAGTAATCGAGTGAAATGTGCCAATAATTCAGTGCAGTGTGCCAGTAATTGAGTGAAATGTGCCATGATGCTGTGAAATATGTCAGTAACTGTGTGAAATATGCCAGTAATTGAGTGAAATATGCTATAATTCAGTGAAATGTCAGTAATTGAGTAAAATAGGCCATAAATCAGTGAAATGTCAGTAGTTGAGTAAAATAGGTCATAATTCAGTGAAATATGCCAGTAATTGAGTAAAATTGGTCATAATTCAGTGAAATATGCCAGTAATTGTGTGAAATCTGTCAGTAATCGAGTGAAATATGCCAGCGTCTGAGAGGAATATCCATTAGTAAACTGTAAATGTGTACTGAATGACTTGAAATCTCTAAATGACGGCAACTGCCTCTGCGCCGAAGAAACATTTAGGCTTAAAACTACACTACCCATAATGCATTTATGCGGGCGTGCATCTTCTAGGTAAACGGTTACCATGGATACGGAACGGCGGTCTAACCACCGTTTAATCGGACATAAAACAAACGTTATAAACGTTTTTACAGTAATAATAAACGCGCTTTTAAATGTACAGTTATTCTTAATAACTGCAGTGCAGACAGATTCTCTAAAAAGCTGCTAGGCTCCGTTAGCCTGTTTGCTAGCAACAGCTAAGCTAAATGCCTTCAACAGAAGAGGAAAACATAACCTAATATAACAGCGACACTTGGTAGAATTCGCTTAATCACCTCTTTATCCTGGACAGTCACAAGAGAAACCATAAAAACGGTGTTTTATAATCTGACTCCGGTTTATTTACTGCAGTTCTACAGAGGAACATACCTCTCTTCCCTAGGAACGTACCATCACTGACACAGGGGGGTCCGCACTCATTCCTCAATTCTGTAAACAGGTTTATATATTTGTTTAGATCACCATATACATAAACTGCAATTGTTTGTAATTGTGCTGTACTAAAATTCCTGAGCAAAGCAGTTTTAAAACTGAACTTAAACGAAAAGTGCTTTGTAAATAATGTTTTAATATTCATTACAGTCAAAACTCTACTGTATCCTCTGATTCTGGGTGTCTACTGGCTGCTCCAGTGATTCCAGAACATTCTGGCCTCTATATCGTCCCATCAGCGGCCTCATCCGTGGCTTTCATTACAGTCAAAACTCTACTGTATCCTCTGATTCTGGGTGTCTACTGGCTGCTCCAGTGATTCCAGAACATTCTGGCCTCTATATCGTCCCATCAGCGGCCTCATCCGTGGCTGTGACTGCAGTACAGTTTGGGAGCAGAGCCTCAGAGCAGCGCCAGGCAGGAATTATTCATCATTATCCAATAAATCCATTTAATGAAAATCCATTCAAGCTCCACAACTGGGATTAGTTGACAATTAGCAATAAAAAAAATAGAAAGAAGCTGCAATTATATAGTTTTTTTATGAGATTAGTTCATGAAGGATTATGATGAAATGACACACCAATGTTGGTTGGTATAGTGTAGTGGGTAACACCTCTGCCTTCTACACTGTAGACTGGGGTTCAACCCCCCACCTGGTTAAGCACCCTCCACTATACCAATAAGAGTCCTTGGGCAAGACTCCTAACACTACCTTCACCTACCTGTGTAAAAATGATCAAATTGTAAGTCGCTCTGGATAAGAGCGTCTGCCATAAATGTAAATGATGGAAAACATTTCATAAGGAAACATTATACACTACACTTTGATCACTGTGATTTAGCTGTGCATGTTCACAATGTTTTGTCCTTTATTTATACATTTATAAGCAGACATTAGTGTTAATATACCCATATAAATATATACAATGACAGACAATACAGGTAAGCTCTCACTACGTTTCGCACTAGGCCAAGGAAAATGGTGCACCTTGTGGGCTTCTTCGCTCTCTTCCCATTGGCTATATGCATGTTAGAATGCTGTCTGTGATTGGTAGAGAGCAGAACAGCCAACAAGCCACCTTCCCTCCAAGTTTAACCCAGTGTTACCCCATGACTACCTTAGGACGTCCTATCCACCTTTTAAGAGTGACTCGCTGAGAAGGTCGCTGGCCGGTCACAGCGCGGTCACTAGGATAAGATCATATGACCATTAGTGTAGCTGGTAACCTCCAAAATCAGGTCCCAGAATAGCTGTAATGTACAGTAACGATGATACTAATAATCCTCCACACTGAGAACAGTTAAAAGGCTGTTCTCCAGTATGAATCACCTTGTGGTGTTTACAGTGAGCTGATATAAAAAAGTCCCAAACTGCATGTAGAAGGCTTTTTTCCTCATTATGGATCATGAGAGTTTTAAACCTGCTTGTTTAATAACTATTTCCGCACAGAGAAGGTGAATGCCATTTTCTCCAGTATGAATCATCATTTGAATTTAAAACAGCACAATTTTGAAGAACCTTATCCACACCGAGTGCAGGTAAACTGCCTTCCCCAGTGTGGATCATATACTGGGTTTAGAGTCTTATTTTCTCCCACATTAAGAAGACATACAAGTTCTGTTCCCAGTATGAATCTCTCGGTGTACCTTTAACCATGACTTGTGCAGTTAAAGAGATTCATAATGGGTTTTAAAGTCTTTCTTTCTCCCACATTAAGGAGAGGTAAAAGTTTGGTTTCCGGTATGAAGCTCCTGGTGAACTTTTAACTGCGTGAGTTGTAGGAAACTCTCCCCACTTTCAGAGCCCTGATTCTGCTTTGGTTCTTGCATGTTTGGAGACGTGTTTTCTCAGAGCGGCTGCTGTCGTGTAACTGGACCCGCACTGAGTGCAGCTGAAAGGCTTTTCACCGGTATGGATCATTGTGTGAGTTTTAAGGTTGCCGTATTCTGCGAAACCTTTTCCGCACTCGGAGCAGGTGAAAGGCTTTTCTCCAGTATGAATCATCATGTGGCGTTTATGGTCATGCAGCCTAAAGAAACCCTTCCCACACTGAATGCACACGAAAGGCTTTTCTCCGGTATGAATCATCATGTGGGACTGGAGGTTGCTGGATCTCACAAAACGTTTGCCGCACTCAGAGCAGGTGAACGGCCTTTCTCCAGTATGAATCACTGCATGGCTTTTAAGATGGCTTGACTTTGAAAAACCTTTTCCACACTCGGAGCAGGTGAAAGGCTTTTCTCCAGTGTGAATCATCAAGTGGGTTTTCATGCAGGATGACGTCAAAAACCCCTTTCCACACAAAAGGCAGGTAAAGGGCTTTTCCCCAGTGTGCAACATCATGTGAACTTTAAGGTTGCTCGATTCTGTAAAAGCTTTTCCGCACTCGGAGCAGGTAAACCTTTTTTCTCCGGTATGAATCATTATGTGTCTTCTAAGGTGGCATGATTTTGCAAAACCTTTCCCGCACTCTGAGCAGGTAAAAGGTTTTTCTCCAGTATGAATCATAATGTGGGCTTTAAGGTTGCTGGACACTGAAAAACCTCTTCCGCAATGGGTGCAAGTGAAAGGCTTCTCTCCAGTATGAATTAACATGTGTTTTTTGAGGGTTCGTGAATAGGAGAAACCTTTTCCGCACTCAGAGCAGGTAAAGGGCTTTTCCCCGGTATGAATCGTCAAGTGGTTTTTAAGGTTTCTTGAGTTAGAAAAGCCTTTTCCACACTCAGAGCAGGAAAAGGGCTTTTGACCAGTGTGTGTCATGATGTGGCTTTTAAGATATCGTGATCTTGTGAAACCTTTTCCACACTCAGAACAGGTAAAATGCTTCTCTCTGCTATGAACCTTCATGTGGATTTCACAGCTGATCTTTCTCCTGAAGGTCTTTCCACAGTGAGAACAGCTAAAAGGTTCTTTCCCAGTGTGAATTCGTTGGTGAGCTTTTAACCATGAGAGCTGTGTGAACGTCTTTCTACATATGGAGCACTTATGAGGTTTGATTCCTGTATGAAGGTACAGGTGGCTTTTCAAAGCGCCTAAAGTGGTGAACCCTGTCCCGCAGTGAGCGCAGGTAAAAGGCTTTTCTCCAGTATGAATCCTCATGTGGGTTTTAAGGCAGCCTGAGTCTGAAAACCCTTTTCCGCACTCAGAGCAGGTGAAAGACTTCTGTGTGTGAGTCTTTTCATGCTGTCTTAACTGTGGTGAACTGCTGAAACGACAACCACACTGCGAGCACTGATGATGCTCTTTTCCTGCATGCATGTCCATGTGAAACCTGAGAGATCTCGCAGAGGAGAAGCTCTTCCCACATTCGCAGCAGGTGGAAGACTTTTTTCTAGTGTGAGTCTTTTCATGCCGTATTAAAGTTGACATGTACTTGAACCTCAACTCGCAATGAGAGCACTGATGAGGTCTCTGTCCTTCATGGATGTCCAAGTGATGTTGGTGCTCTTTCAGGTGGGAGGCATCAGCACTGAAGCTTGTTTCCTGCTCAGCGTTCAGGTTGGATATCTGTGCACTATGTTCTTCTGGAAATGGCTTCACATCTGGTTTACATTCCTCTTCGACATCTTCTTGTAGTAATGGTTCTATAATAAGAAAAGGACAGTCGTTGTATGTACACACACCAATGTTATCCACGTCTACATGCATAACACATTAATAATCAGACTAATAGCTCAATCAGAATAGAATACGTCCATGTATACACCTCACTCGGAATAGTCTAGTCCAATTGAGGCCATTCGGAATACAATTTCTATCCGACTGAACGAGGTGGGTAATCCTGTAAATAATCCGTTAAATAGAAGAATAATATCTGTGTAAACGCCTGTATCTGATTACATTCCCTATCGGAAAGTTTAAGTCCGTTCTGATCATGTTCGTCACGTCATAGTGAAAGTTTATACCTTTCAACATGGCGGAGCAGAAACTGGTCTGCAGAGGAGACGAAGTTTATGCTCTGATCTTTAAAAGACGGCGGTGGGACGGACGTCCAGCTTATGTGTCTCAGAACACGACGACTTCCTCTCGGCCTTCTTTAATAAGGACATGTGAAGGACGTTTTCCTGAGTCTGACATCATTTTAAAGCAATTAAAAACACAAGCACTGCTCACTGCTGCTCATCTCACTCTGACTGGACTCACGTGATGCTGGTTGTCAAGGTAACGTTTACACTAAGTGGTTCTCTACACATGCGCGTCATTTTGGATCGGATTACTTGTAGTGAGCATGTAAATGGAGATTTTCATTAGATTGTTGAGTAGAGTGAGAATAAACACCTCAGTCTTAATCTATAATCGAAGTGTATTCAATCCGATTGGCAAACGTTTTTGCATGTAAACACAGCCGTTGTTAAAAAAGCAGTGAAATAACTGTCCACGTCAGGGGTCACTAATCTTATCCGCAAAGGGCTGGTGGGGCTGCAGAATTCCATGGCAACCAAGCCAGAGCTCACTTCATATCACTAATCAAGTGTCATGAAGTGCCAAGTCATTAAACAAGTTAAATCAGATGAGCTTCTGCTTGAATGAAAACGTGCAACCTCACCGGCCCTAAGACTATTGATCAGGGTCCTATTACAGAAACTTCCTCTCTTAAGTGCTAAATTAAGATCCGACAGGTCAAAATAAGAATTTTCACACATTGATATTACAGAAGGACTTCAGGAATTTTATCTGATCTTACATCTCCAGTTAGGAAATCTTAACCTACTCGATCAGAGTCGACAATCATCTGTCGTGTCTGTTTCCTAGCAACCGACCATACACACAGCTGAAACCTAAACGTAATCAAAATAACGTTAAAAATATAAGTTCCAGCTGCCATTACTGATGTTAAAAAAAGGTCAAAACAAAACTAAAGTGTGATAAACTGTAAGATGTAAGTACTGTGTGAGCGCCCCCTGTTCATACTGCTGTTTATTACTCTTCACTCAGTTAAAAGTCCTTCATTATAACACAAAAAAATCGGGACAAAAATTCTCTCCCTTGCTTGTGCTGAAAACACATTGAGAAATGTTTGTCAGGGGCTCCCGAGTGGCGCAACCGTCTAAGCATTGGCCCTATCATCAGGAGATCGCGAGTTCGATCCCTGGTGATGCTACAGCCATCCGTAGCCGGGAGTCCGAGAGAGCACAATTGGCCTCTCTCTCTCTATGGCCCCTCCTTCTCCCCCCATCACTCAGCGCGATGCTAGTCAGCGCAGGCGTCTGTTAGCTGACGTAACAGATCTGGTGGTTGGCGCTTTCCTCCGAGCACGTTTGGCTGTCCAATGACGTGAGCGGCAGTTCGAAAAGAAGCGGTGGTTGGCTCCACAGGTCTCGGAGGAAGCCTGTGTTAGCCTTCACCCTCCTAGCGTTGATAGCATCATGTGATTGGGGGAGTCCTAACTAGCGGGTGGAATTGGAGACGACTAAATTGGTGAGAAAATCGGGTAGTTTGTCCATAGCTGTTATAATAAAGACTTTTTAACTCTTTTTTTTTCAATAAAATGAACATGAAACTTTTGAAATTTAAAAGTGTAATACTATTTGTTGTGTTGTACTTAAGCTTCCCAGTTTGAATATTAAGATATGAGCATTCAATGATCAGGAAAAACAACAGTTCACAGAAAAATCAGTTGTACACAGTTGCTCACTGTCTGAAGTTTGCTTCTTTAGCTCTGCACTAGAGCCAAGAGATTAACTTAGCTAACGAGTGATGGAAAATGTTTTGGTGAAACACAGACTTGTGTTATATTAGCGCAAAATTTAACATGCAGACTTTAAGATAAAAACAAACAGATTTCAACTTGGCTGATTGACTATGGGGGAAATTTGTGTAAATCACATAAATAAATGGCTATTTTGAGCAAGGTTTTAAGCAAATAGTAGCTTGAATTTTTCTATGGAAATCCATGACATCACTTACAGGGACCTAGGAAATTTGGCAAGGAATAACCCTGTTATAAAACATTACATTACAAAACATTATATCACATAATAATAATAATAATAATAATAATAATTGAACAGACATTAAGGTATGAAATGAACTGTTCAGGCTAAGAACTACAGTCTTTGTTATGCTGTGCAGTCGGTAACTGAGCAGAGGCTCATTTGGTCGTTTTGACTCTGAACTCCAGCTTATTGGATTTTAAAGAAACCATGACTGTGAATAAAGTACAGAATGTCCACTTTATTGTGAAGGTCTGAACACTTATAGTAGGAAAGCCTCACTGTTTATAAAGTCCACACTGACCCTCCTTCATCTCCTCGTCTTCTGTCTTCAGTCCAGACGCCTCCATCACACTGACGTCCTCACACTCCTCCTTAACACAGGACATCTTCACACTTGGTCTAGTGAAGTCCACACTGCCAGAGTGAAAATGTCTGGTCAGAACCTTTTAGGGCAGAAAACACATCTGATTAGAGCTGAGCAGCATTACATGCTTTGATATTGACACCAATAACAATATATTGATCTTGATACTCATTCCTGAATAATACTTTATTGATGCTTTAAATCACAAACTGAAAGTGGGTGTGGCTTTAACCGGAAATGAGTCTGAGATACCAAAAGTGGGTATATTAACTGACCACTACGGACTAATTAAGAAGCGCAGACATTATTAACATACATACAGAATTCAGGCAGCCTATCAGCAGTCTAGAATTTAGAATAATCAGGTTACTGATTCACAAATGCTGATATTTTGAAATTTTGTATTAAATGATACTAAATGTTTTGATACCCAGTAGTGTTTAAGTAGTTTGTTGAATTGTACAAATATCTTTAATTAAAACCTACATAGCTCAGTTTTCAACACAGTGGAGTTCATGCTGCACTAACAATATTTAATCACACTGGCATGTTATGCAGCTCCATGTACAAACTAGTGGATTATTTTCATTTCATTCACATTTTACTTTTCAGAGATTTACTGATTTTAAGAGTTACTGGTTGTTTCAAACCAAAATACTTACTACTTAAATCTTCATCTAAATGAAAAAAATATATTTTCGCTTGTAAAACACAAGAACTCTGTCCAAACGAAGTGTTTTACTCGCTCACGCTTCACCTGTCAATGTAAAAACTACATTAACCACAATGCATTGCTGTGACTCAGCTCAACTGTAACCATGGGAAACGAGCTGCTGGGCTCCGTTAGCTTGTTTGCTTCCAATTGTGGACAACAGATAAACACACTAGACACTAAAAGGTTCCCAGTAAACAGTAAACACGTTTATCGAGTCCATTTATTCTCAGAACCGAACCCCAGCTTATCTCAGTTGCTAGCCTCAGTTAGCCTGTTTGCTAGCAGCTGCTAAACTTGGGTAACTTTGGTAAATAAAGATTATTTAGCTCATTTATACAGCGATAATTAACGGTACACGGCGATTTACCCTCTTCTCTTACATATTTCCACAGAAAATCATATAAAATTCCGTTTTATTTACTGCAGAGAAACATACCTCGCTTCGCTTAGGAACGTACCATCACTGAAACAGGGGGGTCCGCACAGTTACTGATGTCCTAACCTCCTCTACATGTTTCTTCCCTTCGGAACATACCATCACTGAAACAGGGGAGTTATCGATATCCTAACCTCTGCTACACGTTCCTAAAATGTTTAGGTTTTCCTAAAAATACAACAACAACAACAACAATAATAATAATAATAATAATAATAATAATGTTACTGTATCTGTATTTTAGGCTAATGTGTATTCATTTGTTACGACTCATTACTACTTTGAATCTCCAATGCTGATCCACCACTTAATCCAGTTTCTGCTCCTGTATGAATCCTCATGTAAATATTAGTCAATGTTGAGGATTTCTCTCCACACTGAAAACAGGTAAAGCCTTTTCTCCGGTATGAATCATTGTGTGACCTTTATAGTGGGTTGATATAAAACACTCTCCCCACTCCGAGTGCGAGAAAAAGTTTTTTCCAGTATGAATCGCACAGGCTACGTGGCCTTGAACCCTGAGTATATTACGTTATCTTAGCCTGGTCAAATTTTAAGGCAGCTTAAGTTTATGACACGGCACAAAACAATCCAGATTACTAAGAACTATTTTACAGTGCGGAGCACATTGGGAGTATTTGTAGATAGCCAGCTAGATCAAATAGCCTGTGCTAGGTTATTACAGTCCTGTTCTGAGAAGCACTGACTGTGTAATATTGCAAATTATTCTAGTTACGAGAAACACGATTATTTTGTATAATCATTATGCTTTATCGCTGGATCTCCTGTAGCTTAGCTACTGCTCAGTGTCACGTGGCGGAGTACAAACACAGTTTCACAACACAGAATGCAGTGCAGTGAGAGCTCAGATAAACGTCAAGCTCATTTCACATTTTACTTCTACAAATTTAAATGAATAAAACTGTCAACAGCATCTAGTGACTTTCAGCTCATCAAGGCTGCTTCTGTATTGTTGGGTAATTTACTACAGCTTGAATCTACTGGGAAATTCTAAACAATTCCCAACGCAGAATAAAAGAAGACGAGGAAGCGGATTTCAAAGTTCAGATTAAAAATTTACTTGAAAAATCAATTCAGTATTACAGTTGAACAGAGAATTATCTAAAACAATAAAGAAAGAAAGAAAAAAAGGAACATCTCAGATGAGTAAGTTCAAAAATGAAACTGAAAGTAAAGCAGAGCACTGAAATAACAGCAGGTTCTCTGCTCTTAATCGATTTTACCTCAATTCAAATTAAAGGAGTGACTTCTTAATTGCTATATTAAAGTCAGAGCCATCGTTCCATCCATGATTGGTCCTTGAGGAAAAGAAAAATATACTACTAATGACCCAACATGCGCTGTAAGGGCAGTGTCACATTAAAATAGTGTTTTTTCAGCTTAGATGACCATGGATGGTTCCACCGTGCCGGCTAGAATAGCTGGTAGACGAGCATAAACAAGTTCTCATCTCACATCAGTCTGTCTTCGTGAGTCAGCATGAGTCCTTAAATCTTTTAAAGTCTCTGAAAAAGGTCAGGAGTTAATATGGACGACTTCAGTCTTCTGGTCTGTATGAGACTTTATGTCGCGTGCGGAGGCCACGCTGAGGTTATGGGCTTGTAGTCTCCATTTTTCCTGCGTCTCCATCACAAAGGAGAGTTCAGGAGATCCAGGGTTCACAGCAATGTAATAACAAGACAGCTGCTTTTCTCATGAGAATCAGAATCCTGCTGTAAATAACCTGGTGGTGTTCCTTAATGTTCTGTTCTGGATCTTAGGAAGTTCGTAAACTGCATTTGTTGGACTGCCGTAAATGAAGCGTCACCATTAACACTGCTAAACAAAGAAGAGTCAAACTTCAAGACCCAGAAAACCTAATTTTGTGTTTACTTTCTAATTAGGTTAATCTTGTTCTTGCAGGCAAACAGTAAACATGTAGTAAAGCCGCTTTTACACTGCATGGTACCCGAACTTTAGCAAAAGCTGGTACTTGGTACCGTCTCCGTCAAGGTTCCAAGTGAGTTTAGCCGATATCAAAAGGCGACATAAAACGCTACAGACTACTGATTGATCGGAGAGAATTGCTAAACACATATGCTAACATTAGCAACCAGGTTAGCGTAGACTCGTGTCGCCCTTGAGCAGCCAGAATCGTCTTGTCGTCTGAAATCTGATGTAGTTTTTCCCAAACTCTCCTGTTTTTTTTCAGTAGTCTGAAAAAGTGAGTTTCATTCACTATGACAACCAGCTACATTGAGGGGGCACTATATCTGCAATGGAATAAGAAGTTGCTGGTACCAAAAGCGAGATGCATCGAGTCGAGCTGAGCTGAGTCGAGCTGTACCACGCGGTGGAAAAGCTGCTCAAGTTCAATCTTTGAACAATGTTCCAATGACCAATAAATGACTGATATATTTCACCATACTTCACTCCTCTCTGTGTAAACTGGGTGGTCCTAACCCTTGACAATGCTTCCGTAAGCATTCGCCTGACCAACCAAAAGGCTGCGTCTCTGGCCCTGCCCACACAGAACAGTCTCCAAGTCAGAGAAGCTTAGCAAGCTAAAGCTAAACCAGCATAACCAAAAGCTAGTGAGCCAGACCACCTGTCTTTAGCTTCGCCCGTTCATTCGTTTATCCACCACCAACATTGTTCACTCGTCTGTTCCTTCATTCACGCATTGCTTCGTCCGTTTGTTTATCCGTGACTTTTTTCGTCCAGTTAGCGTCACATAAAAGCTGGACAATGATGCTAATTTTATATGAGGGGTGGAGCAGTCTAGGACTGTTGGACAGAGAGCTGTCAATCAAGCTGCTCATTAGCCACGCCCACACAATTCTCAGATAGGTCTAATCAGTGGGTTTTAAGCTGTGTTTTATCGTATTTTTATCTTATACTTTTTAATCAAGCTTTGCTGGATGAATAATAGAATGCTGAAATTTATCACACAAACATTTTTACTATTTTACTCTGTGCTCCCTGCAACTTTAAGGAAAAGGAATAACAACTAAACCAAGGTTCTGTCTGTCCAACAGGGGTCTCTCTCAGCACCGTAGCAGCTGTCAGAATGAAGATCACGGCTCCTGAAAAGTACAAAAACACCCTCCAAGACTGGATATACTGTCATCTGGACACAACAATACAGCAAAGAGATCTGAAACTTCCTCTCTTTCAGTCCTAAGATCTGAGAGATCAAGAATTTGATCTTATCTTACAGCATCTTATCTCTAGTCAGGAAATCTTCACCTTCTCCATCAAAGTCGACAATCAGCTGTCATGTCTGTTTCCCTACAACCGATCATAAACACACACAGCTGAAACAAACACATCATCAAAATAATGTTAAAATGTGAGTTAAGCTGCTGTTACTGATGTAAAAAAGGTCAAACAGAACTAAAGTGTGATAAACTGTAAGTTGTGAAAACTGTGAGAGCGTCCCCTGCTGTTTATCAGAGTGTTGCTGCTCCCCAGTTTCAATCTCCATTTCCCAAACGCTTTAGCTGAGTCCACTAACGTTACTCTTCCTAATAAACAGATGTTCATGTAAGTTCATATTTTCTGCTAAAGTGACTTGATGTTTAAAAAAAGCTGCTCATGATGTTTGGGTTTTACGTTACGTTCACATCACGTCTTATTCTGTGAGTGTTCTGGCTGGTTGTAAAGCAAAAATCCGATTATTGCTTCACTCATGTAGACCTGGAGTTTACCCATTATCTGATTACCCAAGAGCACGGAAATACACTAAACCAATTACTGACACAATCTGATTTTCTGCAGTTACACTGAATCAGTTACTGACACAATCAGATTTTCCACAGTTATCAGACTATTAAGTGTAAACATGCTGAACCAGTTACTGACACAATCTGATTTTCTGCACTTGTCAGATTATTAAGTGTATGTAAACGCACTTGATTTATCACGTGTGAACCGCCATGTGGTTGTCAAATGCTTTCTTTCTTTTATAAGTCTTTCCACACTGAGAACAGTTAAAACCCTTTTTGCCAGTATGAATCATTATGTGTTTTTTCAGGCGGCTGGCGTCTGGGAAACCTTTTCCGCACTCCGAGCAGGAAAACGGCTTCTCTCCAGTATGAATCATCATGTGTCTTTTAAGGTCGCTTGCTCTACAAAAGCTTTTTTCACACTTACAACAGGCAAATGGCTTTTCTCCGGTATGAATCCTCATATGGATTTTAAGACTGCTTGACATTATGAAAGCTTTTCCGCACTCAGAGCAGGCAAAAGGCTTTTCTCCACTATGAATCATCATGTGGGACCTATAGTGAGATGATGCAAAAAAGCTCTTCCCACACTGAGTGCAGGTAAAAGGTCTTTCTCCAGTATGAGTCATCATGTGGGCTTTAAGGTTGCTTGATTTAGAAAAACCTTTTCCGCACTCCGAGCAGACAAAAGGCCTTTCTCCAGTATGAATCATCATGTGTCTTTTAACATCGCTTGATTTACAAAAACTTCTTCCGCATATGGAACAGGAGAATGGCTTTTCACCAGTATGAACCATCGTGTGATTTCTCAGCAGGCTTGCGTTTGGAAAACCTTTCCCACACTCAGAACAGGCAAATGGCTTTACTCCAGTATGAATCATCATGTGGGTTTTATAAAGAGTTGATGTTAAAAACCCCTTCCCACACTCAGAGCAGGTAAACGGCTTCTCTCCAGTATGAATCATGATGTGGGCTTTCAGGTGGCTTGAGTTTGAAAAACTTTTCCCGCACTCGGAGCAGGCACACGGCTTTTCTCCAGTATGAATCATCATATGGAATTTAAAGTTCCTCTTTATTCTAAATGTCTTTCCACACTCAGAACAGACAAAAGGCCTTTCTCCAGTGTGAATCCTTTGGTGTGCTTTTAACTCTGCTAAACATACAAAACTCCTCCCACACTGAGTGCAGGTAAAAGGCTTTTCTCCAGTATGAATCATCATGTGGGTTTTAAGGTGGCCTGACATTGAAAAACTTTTTCCACACTCTGAGCAGGTAAAAGGCTTTTCTCCAGTATGACTCATCTTGTGGACTTTGTAGTGGGCCGAGGTCAAAAAACTCTTCCCACACTGGGCGCAGCTGAAAGGCTTTTCTCCAGTATGAATCATCATGTGGGTTTTAAGGTAACTTGATGCTAAAAAACCTTTTCCGCACTCAGAGCAGGTGAAGGGCTTTTTCCCAGTATGTACTGTCATGTGGACATCAAGTTTTCTTGAGGTTGAAAAGCCTTTACCACACTCAGAGCAGGTGAATGACTTTTCTCCAGTATGAATCTTTTCGTGTTGTTTTAAATATGAAGCACTTTTGAAACTCTTTTCACACTGAGAGCACTGATGAGGTCTCTGTCCTTCATGGATGCTCATGTGATGTTTCAGAGCTCTCTCAGAGGTGAAGCTCTTCCCACACTGTGAACAGCTGAAAGCTTCTTCTCCAGTATGAATTCTCAGGTGATCTTTTTGTTGGGAGGAATCACTGGAGCTTCTTTCATGCTGAGTGGTTTGGTCAGATTTCTGTGCAGTACATTCTTCCTCAAATGGCTTCACTTCCAGTTTGAACTCCTCTTTTATGTCTCTTCGTAATACTGTTCCTATAATAAAAGAAGAAATCATTTAAATCATATTTAAAACAACTATTAAAAAGTACAGATACTGCCCTACTTAAGTACACTACAAAGGCAAAAGTATTGAGACACCTACACGTTACATCTACTGGAATTTTTAAAAAAGAAATTTTTTGTTCATTCATCTAGAAGAGCATTTGTGAGGTCAGACACTGACGTTGGACGAGAGGACCTGGCTCACAATCTCTGTTCTAGTTCATCCAAAAGGTGTTGATGGGGTTGAGTTCAGGGCTCTGTGAGGACCAGTCAAGTTCTTCCACACCAAACTCATCCAGTCATGCCTTTACGGACCTTGCTTTGTGCACTGGGGCTCAGTCATGCTGGAACCAAAAAGGTTCTTCCCCAAACAGTTCTCACAAAGTTGGAAGCACATCTTCCAAAATGTCTTGGAATTGTCCAAAATGTCTTGGTCTGCTGAAGCATTAAGATTTCCCTTCACTGGAACTAAGGGTTCTAGGCCAACCCCTGAAGAACAACCCCATAGCATTATCCCTCCTCCATCAAACTTTACAGCTGCACAGTGCAGTCAGGCAGGTAATGAGAAGCGTGATCTGTCACTCCACAGAATGCGTTTCCACTGCTCCAGAGTCCAGTGGCAGCGCTTTACACCACTCCATCTGATGCTTGGCATTGTGTTTGGTGATGTAAGGCTTGCATGCAACAGTTTTTGTGCTGATGTTGATGCCAGGGCCAGGCTGTCCCAGAAAAGTCTCCTCTGATATGACCTGGAAATACACCTGTCCAGACCAGCCAGGCACTCTTCATTCCGCTCTGCTTCGCTTTGCTTCCTCTGTTAAACTTTGTGAAAGTTAATGTAAGGAATTAGAGTACCTTTTTGTATTTGTTTTATTTCAGGCTTAGTTTTTTTGTTATTTTGGGCAAAAGCTTGTCCTAGGAGCCATCTTCCCATCCTCTTTTCATAAAAATAAATGTTTCCTGGTTAAACAGTGCCCAGCGTTTGGTATTGCGACAGGTCTAGGAAGAGAACCTACTCTCATTTTCTGTTACGGCCTAACGTTACACCAGGCCATAACATATTTCATGTAATAACTTTGAGAGAGAGCTTTAAGATGTGGATGTCTGGTTCCTATACGTTTTTTAAAAATATACTTTCCTGCTTCCAGACTGTGCTTAATAAACTTGTCTACTTTTACCTCTTCCATGTCAGAGGGAGATTTAAGTTGCAATTGAACTGAACTGACTTGCATCAATCAATTAATGCAGAACTGAAGTATTTTTTAATTGGTTAACTTGTCAGTTTGAATTTAACCAGTCAGGTCGCTGATGCTCGGCCAAAAATGGCACAAGGTGTCAAAATCAAATTCACTGCTTTGCTGTTATTGTATTATATTGCTATTATTGGCAGCAGCTCATACAGTAACAATGAAATTCTATGAAGAGTTAAATGTTAGAACAAGCAGAGGATACAGACACTGGATCAGCGTTCACTTCGAAGTGGACCAAGCCCTGAGATTATTGGGGGACCAGTTTGTTTGTCTAGTGCACACCCAAGTACAGGTGGAGCGTTTACAACTGAACTAAAGAACAAATCAGATTGATCCACACCAAACAGGTCAAGCTCCTCTAAATGTAGCTGGACAAGCAAGACATCATGCTTTGTGAGTGCAGCCGTTGGGTCAGGTGTGCTGGGAGCGGGGGTAGAGCAAAAGCCGGGACGGTCTGGAGGGCTTTACTACTGACCTGTCTCCATCTCCTCATCTTCCATCTTCAGTCCAGACGCTTCCATGACGCTGACATCCTCATATTCCTCCTTAACAGAAGACATCTTTACGATTCTGCATGGAAGAACACACTGTGTGTTCTGAAAAACAAAAGAAGAAAAAAAGAAGTGACTGAAAAACAAAAGAAGAAAAAAAATCAGATCAGTTGTGTCTCAGAGTCGGAATCCGACGGACTGGCTATGTAAGAGAACGTGAAAAGGCGTTTTAGTTCACAATGATAATCAGTCAGGCATTGTGTAAATTCAGTAGAGAATGTGACGTCATAACGCAGCATCTGACTTTCAGCTCAGTTTAAAACACTGTTAGCTCTACTGCACTTTGTGATGTACAACCGCATTTACAAAAAGGTTGGGACACTGTGCAAAATGTAAATAAAAAACAAAATGTAATGATGTGCCAATCATTTAAACCCCATATTTCATTGAAAATAGTACGAAGACAACATATAAAATGTTGAAACTAAAAAATTTTATTGTTTTTTTAAAAATATATGCCCATTTTGAATTTGATACCAACAACACATTCCAAAAAAGTTGGGACGGGGCACATCTGGTGGTTGATTGACAACAGATCAGTAACATGACGAGATACAAAAAAGCATCCCAGAGAGGCTGAGAAGCAAAAAAGCAAAGAAAAGGAGTTTACCACTCTGTGAAAGACTGTGCGAGCAAATGGTGCAACAATTCAAGAATAACATTTTTCAATGTAAAACAGCAAAGAACTTTTGCTTTTCATCATCTATGGTACATAATAACATTAAAGGATTCAGAGAATCTGAAAAAATCTCTGTATGCGAGGGACAAGGCTGAAAACCAGTATATGCTGGCTGTGATCTTTGGGCCCTCAGGCAGCACTGCTTGGAAAACAGATATGATTTTGTAGTGAAAATCACCGCATGGACTCAGAAACACTTCTGAAAACCACTGTCTGTGAAAACAGTTCATCGCTGCATCCACAAATGCAAGTTAAAACTGTAAAACGCAAAGACAAAACTATATACACAGGATCCAGAAATGCTGCCACCTTCTCTGGGTCTGAGCTCATTTAAAATGGACTGAGGTGAAGTGGAAAAGTGTCCTGTGGTCTGACAAATCAACATTTGAAATTCTTTTTGGAAATCATGGACACTGTGTCCTCCGGGCTAAAGACCACTCAGCTTGTTATCAGTGCACAGTTCAAAAGCCGGAAGTCCAAGACAGCACAGTTGTCCAGGCTCTCTCTGGGTGGGTAAGATGGCCCCGCCTCCCCCATCACTCAGCCTGATGCTAGAGAGGGCAGGCATCTGTTAGCTGACGTAACAGAACTGGCGGTTAGCGTTCTCCTCTGAGCGCGATCAACTGTATAATGACGCAGTTCGAAAATATGTGGTGGAGCTTCACAGGACTCAGAGGAAGCCTGCGTTTGCTTTCACCCTCCTAGCGCTGGTGGTATCATGTGATCGGGGGAGTCCTAACCAGTGGGTGAAATCGGATATGACTAAATTGGGGAGTAAACTGAAAAAAAAATCTTTACACTCTCATTTGTAAAGCACTTTGCATAACCGCAGTGTCTGAAAGGTGCTATATAAGCAAACTTGCCTTGCCTTACAGGTGATCCACCACTTTGGCAGGGTTAGTCAGTCTGGCTTGGCTCTGAATAGTTGAATGAATCTCTTATCCACCTGCTTTCCTTGATTTTGGCTGATTTTAAACTCTTTAACCAAATATAAAAGCTCAGCAGCATGTGGATCTACATGACTACCAGCTCAAAGAGGGCTAAATCAAGGAAGGCAGACTGAAGCTTCAGTCAACTACTAGGACGCAGCCCTAGATTAGCAACAAACAGGCAGCACTGCAGTGAGTGTGGATAAACATTAAGCTAAGGCCAATATTATAGATCCAATCATATAGATATAATGAATTTGTCACGTTTTGTATCAACTAACTCACTGCTTTCCAGCTACAAGAACCCAGAGAGCAAGAGGACAGCAAAGCTGGCGGCCCACTGGCTTTTTTACTCAGCGTTTTCTGGACGGCCCACTGGTGGTTGAGCAGATTATTAGACAAAATGCCCCTTTTCATCACTCATTCTCCACCCACAGCCCAATTTATATGTTTTCCTTTCATTTCTTTTTGCCGTTATCCTTTGTAAATTCTTTTAGTAAAGAATTTTAATAGCAAAGCATCACAACCCTGATAGCAAGAGGATAGTGGACCCACTGATGGCAAAGCTGGCAGTCCAATGCTGTTTTGCTCAGTGTTTTCTGGGTGGTCCACCGGCGGTTAAACAGAGTATTATTCCACTTATCATCACTCATTTTCCCTTACAGTCCAATCTACTGATTTTCCTTGCTTCTTTTCTTTACTTTGTAAATTAGTTTAGTAAATAATTTTAATCCAGCTCAGCGTCATCAACATAATTTTCTATAAAATCATTTTATATTAGATATATCAGATTTTTTTTCCTCTCAGTTATATGTAATATTTGTACTTAGTTTATTTTACAAAATAAAAGTCTCTGTGTATTTAAAATCTGTTTGAGGAGACTATAAACTAGTCAGAGCTTGTATGCAGGACAGTAATCTGGGTGGTCCGAGGGGGGACCAGCAGTGGCGTACAGTTAGCGGGGTGCCGACCTTATCAGGCCAGCGGACCGATATATGCTTGCTATCTGGGTATTTACACTAAAATTGGTTCTTGAAGGGTTCTTTAGAAGAAATCAATGGTTCTACACAGAACCATGAACACTTACAGAACCATTTGCATGCTGAAACGTGAGAATGTGTTGTATATGGCTTTTTGAAAAGGCTTCCATATAGCACCAAAAGGGCTAATAGGCTTGACATCGTCACAGCAGAAGAACTCTTTCAGGTGATCTAAATGCTGCTGGGCTACGTTAGCTCCGTTAGCATGTCTGCTAGCAACTGCTAACTTGTTTACCTTTTCCAAACGAGTAAAACCTGGTCTAATCTAAGAGCGACACTTGATAGAATTCTCTTAATTACGTCTTAATTACTGTACAGTTACAAGAGAAGCCATAAAAACTATTATTTATAATTGAAGAGTCTGTTTTAATTACTGCAGTTCTACAGAGGAACATACCGCTTTTCTTCTTTCTTCTTCTGTGTGAATGGCGGTTGGCAGACCAACCAAAGCTGCATTACCTCCACCCACTGAGCCGGAGTGTTACCACGGCTACCCTGTACATCATCCCTTTCTCAAAGAAAAAACAAACCGTGTAACATCCCAGTGACTGTGCGGACCCCCCTGTTTCAGTAATGGTACGTTCCTAAGGGAAGCGAGGTATGTTTCTCTGCAGTAAATAAAACGGAATTTTGAATTATGTAAACCTATTTTATATGATTTTCTGTGGAAATATGAAAGAGAAGAGGGTAAATCGCCGTGTACCGTTAATTATCGCTGTATAAATGAGCTAAATAATCTTTATTTACCAAAGTTACCCAAGTTTAGCAGCTGCTAGCAAACAGGCTAACTGAGGCTAGCAACTGAGATAAGCTGGGGTTCGGTTCTGAGAATAAATGGACTCGATAAACGTGTTTACTGTTTACTGGGAACCTTTTAGTGTCTAGTGTGTTTATCTGTTGTCCACAATTGGAAGCAAACAAGCTAACGGAGCCCAGCAGCTCGTTTCCCATGGTTACGGCTGAGCTGAGTCGCAGCAATGCATTGTGGTTAATGTAGTTCCCCCCCCCATTGATAGGTGAAGCGTGAACGAGTGAAAGACTTCGTTTGGACAGAGTTCTTAGATTAAAATTTCAGCAGTAAGTATTTTGGTTTACAACAATTAGTAACTCTTAAAATCAGTAAATCTCTTAAAAGTAAAATGTGAATGAGACGAAAATAATCCACTAGTTTGTACATGGAGCTGCATAACATGTCAGTGTGATAAATATTGTTAGTGCAGCATGAACTCCACTGTGTTCTCGACCCTGTGGTGAAAACTGAGCTATGTAGGTTTTAATTAAAGATATTTGTATAGTTTAACAAACTACTTAAACACTACTGGTTATCAAAACATTTAGTATTATTTAATACAAAATTTCAGTGTCTGTGTAATCAGTCTTAGCATTTGTGAATCAGTAACCTGATTATTCCAAATTCCAGACTGCTGATTGGCTGCCTGAATTCTGTATGTATGTCAATAATGTCTGCGCTTCTTAATTAGTCTGTAGTGGTCAATAAATATATCCGCTTTTGGTATCTCAGACTCATTTCCAGTTAAAGCCACACCCATGTTCAGTTTGTAATTTAAAGTATTATTCAGGAATGAGTATCAAGATCAATATATTGTTAATGGTGTCAATATCAAAACAATGCTGCCCAGCTCTAATCAGATGTGCTGAGAACTTTCTCATTCTGTTTTCTGTCCTAAAAGGTACTGACCAGACATTTTCACTCTAGCGGTGTGAACTTCATTAGACCAAGTGTGAAGATGTCCTGTGTTAAGGAGGAGTGTGAGGACGTCAGTGTCATGGAGGTGTCTGGACTGAAGACAGAGGACAAAGAGATAAAGGAGGGTCAGTGTGGACTTTATAAACAGTGAAGTTTTCCTAGTATAAGTGTCAGTCATGGTTTCTGTTCAAATGCAATGACCAAGGCCAGAGAAAGCTCAACGTTCCTAATGACCTTCTAAATTACTTCAGCAGACCTACCAACCTGTAAGCCTGTTACGTAGCAGGTACGCATGTTGACATCAAAGTATGCAGGTATAATTTGTCACTCTACGCAAAAATCTGGTGACGCCTGTGAGTTTAATTGTGCATGTGCAGTACTCAAGTCTAACACTGCTTTCACATGTTTGCACTGAAAACCGTCAGTCCGGACCTCAAAGTGGTATGAGGCCAACAGCAGCATGAAGCTATGCAAACGTTAGGGTGGTGACCACAATGCCAGCAAAAATGGATGATTATCAGAGGAGAGCTTCAGCAGTGTAGACTGTTTATATATGGTGGAGAAAGGCATGAGGTGCTCTGCACTCTTTTATTTTTTGTTGTGTAATATTGAGTTTGTCAAGAATTCAACAATGAGATGTTTGGTGTTAATGGCACCCAAAATATCAACATCTGGTATATTCCACTACTGGGGTCAATGGCAAAAGTAGGGAAAACCGCTGCGGTCTGCAGCAGAATTTTCGGTTGCAGTTCCATTGAAAACAATGAAATATCCGGTTTGCTGCATAACAGCAGGATGCAGCAGCATTTTGCCTTCTGAAAAACAAAAGAAGAGCAAGCGCTATGATTTGACCAATCATAGCGCTGGGTTCATTCCCTCAAATATCAAGCAGTGATGACAAATGCCTAATGTCAGTCATTTCAAGAGACTGCAAATCGACAGCAACAAAAAATAGGTTTCATCCTGCTTGTTAACTTCGTCTGGCTGGCTGTCTAAATGAGCTGGGATGAATATGGAAAGTTGGAGTTGTGAATTAACTTGACTGCCAACCTGCCATTTCAGTCAGCAAAGTAATGCTAAGTTATATTGTCCATGTGTCGCAGGTTGTTAAATGTGACTTTTCAAAATATTGTATTCATAATAATTATTGCAGCCAAACCCGTAACAGTAATGATAGGAGCAGATCATGAATGTAAATATGTCTCTTCATTAAAAGAGTTCTTCTAAAGAATATATGATTATAGTGTTTTCTTTATAGCTGATTTATATGTTGGGTTACTGAACTTGATGATATGGAAAGCATGTGAGCGTTACACTATTGTGCTACTCAGAATATTTCCCCATAGTTGGCAGGTCTTTTTTGGTGAAAATGTTAACTTACCTAGTTTGATTATCCTGACATTTAGCTCAACATATTCCCATCGGTTTTGGTTTGTGTTGGAGACTCCCATTTGACATCTGTGTGAACAGTTCATGGCGTCCTACCTTTGTAACAATGTTGTATGTGTGTTTTGGAGAGTGTCTGTGGGAATTTTTGTCCATTCATCCAGAAGAGCATTTGTGAGGTCAGACACTGATGTTGGACGAGAGGGTCTGGCTCACAATCTCCGTTCTAGTTCATCATAAAGGTGTTTGATGGGGTTGAGGTCAGGGCTCTGTGAGGACCAGTCAAGTTCTTCCACACCAAACTCACCCACCCATGACTTCATGGAGCTGCTTTGTGCACTGGGGCTCAGTCATGCTGAAACAGAAAAGGTTCTTACCCAAACTGTTCCTGCAAAGTTGGAAGCATAGAAATGTCCAAAATGTCTTGTTCTGTTGAAGCATTAAGATTTCCCTTCAATGGAACTAAGGGTTCTAGACCAGCCCCTGGAAAAAACAACCCCATATCATCATCCCTCCTCCATCAAACTCTACAGCTGGCACAGTGCAGTCAGGTAACGTTGTCTTGGCATTCACCAAACCCAGACTCGTCCATCAGACTGACAGATAGAGAAGTGTGATTCGTCACTCCACACAATACGTTTCCACTGCTCCAGAGTCCAGTGGTGGTGCTTTACACCACTCCATCTGACGCTTGGCATTGTGCTTGGTGATGTAAGGCTTGCATGCAGCTGCTCACAAATGTTTGTGAAGGCAGACTGCATGGCTAGCTGCTTGATTTTGTACACCTGTGGCAATGGGACTGAATAAAACATTTGAATTCAGTGATTAAAAGGTGTGTCCCAATACTATATTCATATAGAGAGAGATAATTCTTTAATATAATGACTTTTCTTTTTTTCTTGTAGAACCATTATTTCGAGACGTCGAAGAGGAATGTAAATCGGACACAAAGCCATTTCCAGAAGAATATAGCGCACGAATATCGGACTTGAACGCTGAGCAGGAAACAAGCTTCAGTGCTGCTGATGCCTCCCACCTGAAAGAGCACCAACATCAGTTGGACATCCATGAAGGACAGAGACCTCATCAGTGCTCTCATTGCGAGTTGAGGTTCAAGTACATGTCAACTTTAATACGGCATGAAAAGACTCACACTAGAAAAAAGTCTTCCACCTGCTGCGAATGTGGGAAGAGCTTCTCCTCTGCAAGGTCTCTCAGGTTTCACATGGACATGCATGCAGGAAAAGAACATCATCAGTGCTCGCAGTGTGGTTGTCGTTTCAGCAGTTCACCACAGTTAAGACAGCATGAAAAGACTCACACACAGAAGCCTTTCACCTGTTCTGAGTGCGGAAAAGGGTTTTCAGATTCAGGCTGCCTTAAAACCCACATGAGGATTCATACTGGAGAAAAGCCTTTCACCTGCGCTCACTGTGGGACAGGGTTCACCACTTTAGGCGCTTTGAAAAGCCACCTATATCTTCATACAGGAATCAAACCTCATAAGTGCCCCATATGTAGAAAGACATTCACACAGCTCTCGTGGTTACATGCACACCAAAGGATTCATATTGGGAAAGATGCTTTTACCTGTTCTCATTGTGGAAAGACCTTCAGAAGAAAGATCAGCTGTGAAATCCACATGAAGGTTCATAACAGAGAGAAGCGTGCTACCTGCTCTGAGTGTGGAAAAGGTTTCACAAGATCACGATATCTTAAAATCCACATCATGACACATACTGGGCAAAAGCCCTTTTCCTGCTCCGAGTGTGGAAAAGGCTTTTCTAACTCAAGAAACCTTAAAAACCACCTGACGATTCATACCGGAAAAAAGCCCTTTACCTGCTCCGAGTGCGGAAAAGGTTTCTCCTATTCACGAACCCTCAAAAAACACATGTTAATTCATACTGGAGAGAAGCCTTTCACCTGCACCCATTGTGGAAGAGGTTTTTCAGTATCCGGCAACCTTAAAGCCCACATTATGATTCATACCGGAGAAAAACCTTTTACCTGCTCAGAGTGCGGGAAAGGTTTTGCAAAATCATGCCACCTTAGAAGACACGTAATGATTCATACTGGAGAAAAAAGATTTATCTGTTCCGAGTGCGGAAAAGGTTTTACCGAATCAGGCAGCCTTAAAGTTCACATGATGTTGCACACTGGGGAAAAGCCCTTTACCTGCCTTTTGTGTGGAAAGGGGTTTTTGACGTCATCCTGCATGAAAACCCACTTGATGATTCACACTGGAGAAAAGCCTTTCACCTGCTCGGAGTGTGGAAAAGGTTTTTCAAAGTCATGCCATCTCAAAAGCCATGCAGTGATTCATACTGGAGAAAGGCCATTCACCTGCTCTGAGTGCGGAAAAAGTTTTGCAAGATCCAGCAACCTCCAGTCCCACATGATGATTCATACCGGAGAAAAGCCTTTCGTGTGCACTCAGTGTGGGAAGGGTTTCTTTAGGCTGCATGACCATAAACGCCACATGATGATTCATACTGGAGAAAAGCCTTTCACCTGCTCCGAGTGCGGAAAAGGTTTTACAGAATACGGCAACCTTAAAACTCACACAATGATCCATACCGGTGAAAAGCCTTTCAGCTGCACTCAGTGCGGGTCCAGTTACACGACAGCAGCCGCTCTGAGAAAACACGTCTCCAAACATGCAAGAACCAAAGCAGAATCAGGGCTCTGAAAGTGGGGAGAGTTTCCTACAACTCACGCAGTTAAACGTTCACCAGGAGCTTCATACCAGAAACCAAACTTGTACCTCTCCTTAATGTGGGAGAAAGAAAGACTTTAAAACCCATTATGGATCTTTTTAACTGCACAAGTCGTGGTTAAAGGTACACCGAGAGATTCATACTGGGAACAGAACTTGTATGTCTTCTTAATGTGGGAGAAAAAAAGACTCTAAACCCAGTATATGATCCACACTGGGGAAGGCAATTTACCTGCACTCGGTGTGGAAATGTTTCTTCAAAATTGTGCTGTTTTAAATTCAAATGATGATTCATACTGGAGAAAATGGCATTCACCCTCTCTGAGTGCGGAAATAGTTATTAAACAAGCAATTTTAAAACTCTCATGAAGCATAATAAGGAAATAAGCCTTCTACATGCAGTTTAAGGCTTATTTACATCAGCTCACTGTAAACACCACAGGATGATTCATACTGGAGAACAGCCTTTTACCTGTTCTCAGCGTGGAGGATTATTGTGTGACCAGCCAGTGACTTCTCAGCGTGTCATTCTGAAAGGTGGATAGGAAGGTGTATTAACACTAATATCTTCTTATAAATGTACAAGTAAAAGACAAAAACATTGGGAACATGGTGTACAGCTAAATCACAGTGTTTAAAGTATAGTGTATGTTTTCTCAAAAAGTGTGTTTCATCATTTATCATAATGAACTATGAACATGAACTACACACACATTATCAAAGCCATTTATCCGTCTGGGTCACAGGGGGTGCTGTGTATCCCAGCGCTCATTGGACAGAAGGCAGGAAACACCCTGGACACCAGTCCATCACTGTGCAAACACATACATCCACACTCACAGTCACACCTAGGGGCAATTTACCGTGTCCAGTTGGCCTGACTGCATGTATTTTGGACTGTTGGGAGTAAATCCATGCACACAAAGAGAAAACATGAAAACTCTGCACAGAAAGGACCCTGATCACCTGGCCAAGCAATCAAACCCAGGCCCTTCGTGCTGTGAGGCTGCAGTGCTACCCACTGTCCAATTATGGAGCTTTAATGGATTTTCAGTTGATTTCAGCTCAGTTTACAGAGAGTAGGACTGTTCTCTTCCTGTCTCTCTGTTGAAAGATGATGAATAATTCCTGCCTTCTGCTGCTCTGAGGCTCTGCTCCTGATTTTACTACAGCCACAGATGAGGCCACTGATGGGACGATATGGAGGCCAGAATGTTCTGGAATCACTGGGGCAGCCAGTAAACATTCAGGACTGGACGATACAGTAGTGAGGTTTGACTGTAATGAGTAATAAAAATATTAAAACATTATATAGCACCTTTTTATATAGCACAGGAATTTCAGGACAGGACAATTACAAACAATGAGTTAGAACAGTTTATGTATATGGTAGCCTACACTAAAATACATGTCTTTTGTAGCTGCGTATTTGTAGAGAACTTCATTAGACTCCATTGTATGTGCTGCCTTTCTAATACAGCAGTGTTTGTATACACATCGCTGCTGATTGGGTAACACCCTTGACACGCCCATCAAATAAGAGAAATCGTACCTCAAAGGCTGCTGCACATCATTTCACACTGTTTCGACAAAACATGTTGTTTAACCCGGAAACCATAGCAAAACAGTGCATAACTTTGTGAGATTGAACGTGCCCCTAGAAATATACCTGTGAGTGTGTTAGAGCAGGAAACCCACCAAACTGTGCAAGAATCTGGCTCTGCACCACCAGAGTTCCCCACCCCTGACCTAAAGTAAAGAACATGTAGTGGACGTTAAGATGGTTGTAAAGGTTCCCCCTGCTTCACTGATGGTAAATTCCCAAGGAAAAAAAAGGTAGTGAAGGGTGGGAAACCTCCCCTTGCTTCAGTGATGGTATGTTCCCAAAGAAAAGAAAAACAGTGTAGGGTATGATACCCCCACACTTTTCAGTGATGGTATGTTCCTACAGAAGTGAACACGTAGTCAAAGGTAGGTCACGCCGCACTCCCCCGATTTAGTGATGGTATGTTCCCAAGGGAAAAAAAAAACCGTGCAGGATAGGATACCCCCACCCACCCCTGTTTCAGTGATGGTATGTTCCTAAGGAAGAGAACATAGTGGAGGATAGAATACCCCCTCGTTTCAGTGATGGCATGTTCCTACAGAAGTGAACATGTAGTCAGAGGTAGGTTACCCCACCTCCCCCTATTCAGTGATGGTATGTTCCCAAGGGAGAAAACACAGTGCAGGATTGAATACCCCCTCCCACCCCTGTTTCAAGGATGGTATGTTCCTACAGAAGTGAACATGTAGTCAGAGGTTGATTACCCCACCTCCCCCTATTCAGTGATGGTATGTTCCCAAGGGAGAAAACAGTGCAGGATAGGCTACCCTTTCCCACCCCCACCATGGTATGTTCCAAAGGCAAAGTTACTCCTCCATTCATCGAGAAGCCGTCGAGGAGAGGTACGTTTGTTCTCTGCGTAACTGTAGCAAAAATAAATGAAGCCAAGTGTACAAAGCAGATTTATAGAGGGAGATTCACTCGAAAGAGGCCCCGCATATTCTGTAATTACTCTCGCTCGGACGAAGCAATCTGAACCAAACAACGTGCAATGAGATCCTCAGTATGTGGAGCTTTGACCAAGCCGAGATGCCTCTGCGTCTGAGCGATGGTCTGCTGGAGACCCCCGTACCCCTTCATGTGTCTGTCAGAAAACGGAGGTCACTTCCAGCATCGCATGTAATGCAATCGATCACACACGCGTCAAGATATGTAGCGGATTTTTTGGTTCAGATTGCTTCATCCTAACGGGAGTTACAGCAGAATATTGAGGGCCTTTCGAGTCAGTCTCCCTGTATGACGTCTCATTGTCCTGTGTAAGATTAAATGGCAGTTTGGCGCATGAATCATTAATAATCACCCATAATAACTCGCCTTTATTTTTGGGTGAAGTTCACCAAGCTTAGGCATCACTGGAACACAGGAGAACCGAGTCCAGCAGCTCGTTAGATACTCTGTGTTTTGGTTCTGAAAAGAGACGCACTAATTTAACTCACCTGCTGTTACTGTAAACGCTTTTAACGCCTGTTATGCTGCAAAAAAGGTATCTATGAAAGAAAAGTCATCTTAAATCTGGCAAAGTTTGGGATTGCAGTTTTATTATAAAATTATTAAAATGATTTCTAGGTCTTTTTGCTTGTTTTAAGTGATTTACTAAGTGAAATCCTCACTATAGTGGCTGATACTTTTGCTTGTTGTAAGAAATGTGCTTGTAGCAAGCCACTGCATTGAGATAATTTGGCTTAATCACTTAAAACAAGCAGATAAGGTCTATAAATAAGTCAAATAATCTTATAATAAGCTTACATCAGTCTCAGACTTATCAACGTTCGATATATTGACCAGAATTAGATCATTTTTACCTTCCAAGATGCCTTTTTTGCAGTGTAGGTCGGTGTTGAGTGTTCACAACATCAACACGTGGCCTCAGTCTACGTTCTCTGTGCTGGACACTGGGGGGGAAAGGGAAAATAATAGGAATCCTAATTTTTTTGCTATCTACTGTTATTCTGCTTCTAAACTGTGGAGCTCAGTTCACCTTTTATTAGACAGTCGAGCTCAGAGCTCACGTTTAATAAACATCTGAAAACGCAGCTCTTTAACTCAGCGCTTCAATAAAACTTTATCTCTTTAATCTGTTCTCTGTTGTTGTCTTATATGATTTTATATTGATACTCATAGTTTCTTCTGTTACTGTTAAGCTTTTATTTTAAAGCACTCTAAGCTGCCACCGCTATGAAAAGTGCTACATAAAGCTTATTATTATTATTATTGTTGTTGTTGTTATTATTATTTTCATTTAATTTTATTTAATATTACCATGTAGATTGCTAGGAGTTTAAAGGCACGTTTTTATGCTTTTATCATTATCATATTGTGTAGCAGTCGTCCAGGTGAGCCACTATCAGTGTTAGAAAGAGGCTTATATTTAAAATATAACAAAGATGGTTTTTGGATGGTTCTTTAGTAAAGAAACTCCCAAAGAACCACTTGTATGCTTAAGTGGTTCTTTGAATGATGAAATGGGTCTTCAGATTGGTGGAGAATGTGTTGTATATGGTTCTGTGTAGCACCAAAAAGGTTATTCCTTTTTTTCAATTTTTTTTCATATATATATATATGTGTGTGTATAAAATATACAATCACAGAACCCTTTTTGTTCCTATATAGAACCATATACCGCACATTCTCCATCAATCTGAAGAACGATTTCACCATGCAGGGAACCACTTAAGCATGCAAATGGTTCTGAACAGAACCATTCCCTTAAGAACCCTTGAAGAACCAAGGTGGGAGCAGGCTTCCAGAGAAAACTGTCTTTAAAGGCACTGATGGTCTTTCTCCTCTTGTGTTTTACAGAGAACTGCTGACTGAGTGTTCAGAGTGAAGGTGCTGGACTGGATGTAGTTCATATCATCTTTTCCAATGAAGCTCATGTTCAGATGATTCTCAGGTGGATCTGATCTGCTCATCAGAAGATTTTACTCAAAATCGTGGAGTCCATGCAGCTCCAGTCACTAAAGCACACTGTCACTAAAGCCGAAGGTAGGACACTTAAGCAACAGAACATGAGAGGGAGTGTGTTATCGCGGAATAACATCACGGCTGTGATTTGGTCGCCGTAGATCATCACAGCCGTGATGTTATTGGCGATAACACACTCCTCGAGTGTTCTATTGCTTTAATACAACAGTTAAATAAAGTAATAAATTAATAAACTGGGCCGTGAACGCGGCGTTTAATATGTTTTAATGTTCGCAGTTCCTTCACCAAATTATAGTTCCTTAACGAGCAGCTCGTTGCTACGTCAGAGTAACGAGCTCCGCCCATTCGCTGCACAGCCGGCAGTTCGTTCTCCAGCTCCGTACACTAAATTCCCAAACTGTCATCACCACTGAGCAGGTTTTCAGTCGGCAGCTGTGACAGAAGAACAGCTGAACAACCTGGAATCAGCCAGAAATGAACCCAATACCATTCGCCAAACGTGTAGTCTGATCTTCAGAGTCTGACCAAATCAGACTGAGCCATAAAACTGCCGCAATATCAAGTTTAGCTCAGTTTTGTCAGTTTTTGCCAGATCAGTATTAATGTTGTTTTGTCCAGCCAGTCTGTAAAGCATCTTACAGCCCATTTAGTTTGGCGAATGGTATTGGGTTAATTTCTGGCTGATTCCAGGTTGTTTAGCTGTTCTTCTGTCTCAGCTGCCGACTGAAAAGCTGCTCAGTGGTGATGACAGTTTGGGAATTTAGTGGAGTCTCATTTTCAGAGTCTGACCAAATCGGCTGTCGGTCAAATGTGATCTTAAAAGTGTCCATTTTCTGTTTGTGGCAAAGTAAGAAGTAAAAATATTCAAATGGTTTGAGCGTCTCCTACAGCTGTCAAATGGCGAAGTAACAGCACGGTTAGAACGCTTATCAACCAATCAGCTTGCATGGCTGAAACTAACTGTTCTATAACTGTGACAAATACTAATAAAAGGAAGAGAACTAAGTATTCCAAGATTGATTTAGAAAGGAGTGCAAAATAGAAGCATTTTCACTGCTGGTCTCAGACTTTTGGACCCCATGGTGTTTGTACAGACATTTGTGGAGATAATTAATTGAGTTTTTAGCTGTTCAGTTCTACTGAGATGATGCATGTTAGATAAACACAGCCCATTAACTCAGCTGAGCAGGTGAGAGAGTGAGAACGGCTCTTAAAGAGACGCTGTCTGCTGTGAATTGGTGTTAATGTGTGCAGTTCTCTGTGTGTGAGGTGCAGCAGTTTGACTGCACTGTTAGTATAAAACCTCACACTGTGGACCTTCAGCTCAGCTCAGTCTGAGATCCTCATCAGCGTTTGTTTTCTTTGCTGGAAGGTTTAGAGAAGATATAATCACTCCAGTGCTGTAAGCTCTGCAAAGCAAAGACGAGAAGATGACCAGTGTTAAAGAGGAGTGTGAGGATATCAGCGTGATGGAGGCGACTGGACTGAAGAGTGAAGACCAGCAGATGGACAAAGGTCAGTGTGGACTGATGGTGAATTTCGAATATTTTAAATTGGGACAACGTAGTTGATAAATACCAATATAATTAGTATTAGGTCGACCTTCTAGTTTCTACACATGTTGTCCATCTTATCAGCTCCACTGACCATATAGTTTCACTCTGTAGTTCTACAGTTACAGACTGTAGTCCATCTGTTTCTCTGCATACTTTGTTACCCTGTTCTTCAGTAGTCAGGACCCCCATGGACCCTCACAGAGCAGGTACTATTTGGGTGGTGGATCATTCTCAGCACTGCAGTAACACTGACATGGTGGTGTGGTGTTAGTGTGTGTTGCGCTGGTCTGAGTGGATCAGACACAGCAGTGCTGCTGGAGTTTTTAAACACCTCAGTGTCACTGCTGGACTGAGAATAGTCCACCAACCAAAAATATCCAGCCAACAGCGTCCTGTGGGCAGCGTCCTGTGACCACTGATGAAGGACTAGAGGATGACCAACACAAGCTGTGCAGCAGCGGATGAGCTATCGTCTCTGACTTTACATCTACAAGGTGGACTGACAGGGTAGGAGTGTCTAATAGAGTGGACAGTGAGTGGATAAATCAAGAAGTCTCACTGTCCAGTTTTCTTACTGCAGTTCTTAGACCTGTACGGTTCATTTTATCAGCTTTAACTGCTGGTGAAGTGGGACTTTTAGGTTCTAAATCTTGAATAAGAGCTCGGTTCTGGAGTACAGTCAAGTGTTAATATAATTGCCTGCGAAAGCAGAAGTGTCATCATTATCACCTTTCTCTGCCTTTTAAACATACTCTTTAAAAAATGGTTCTTCAAAGGTTCTTTAGATAGTAGCTCTACATAGAAACATGAACATTTAAAGAACCATCTGCGTGCTAAAATGGTTCCGTGCATGGTGAAATGGTTCAGATTGATGGAGAATGTGTTGTATATGGTTCTGTGTAGAACCAAAAATGGTCTTCTGTTGTTTCAAGCTTGACATCATAACAACACAGCACATTCTCCATCAATCTAAAGAACGATTTCACAATGTCAGAATTATTTAAGCATGCCAAGGGTTCGTTGAGCATTCATGGTTCTAGATAGAACCACTGTCTTTATTAAAGAACCCTTGAAGAACCATCTTTTTTTAATAGTGTGTGTTACAGTAGAGGTGGGTGATACAGCGAAAAAATAATATTGTGATGCTTCAAGAAATTTTCACAATACATTATATGCCACCATATTTATTTTCTCAGTTGAAACAGAGAAAAAAGACTAACATTTAAAAAATACTATCAAAAACTGTGAAAACTGTTACTTTTATTCAATATTTACATATTTGCATACTGTATTGTATTGTAACTTAATGTATCACGATAAAGATATATTGTCATATTGCCCAGCTCCGATTAAAGGTCCAGTATTTTCATGGGTTCCTTTGTTCTCTGTCTGGGAGATTCCAGATTCCTCACATTCTTTTGGCTGAACCCCCAACTCCTTAGATAAACGTTGGTGCCAGAGCAGTCATGAAAGTTGCTCTAGGTTTCTGATAGGATTTAAGCACAGCCAGCAGGGTGCGCTGTTCAGAACTGTAGTAAAGTTTCAGTTTACTTTGTCTTTCTGCTTTTCACTTCTGTGCTCATGTGGTGCTGAGCTCTTACGGTGGGAAATAATCCTCTCCATTTAAACAGAATTCTTTAAAGCTTTAAAGTTTTATTTATTCAATTGCTTCTCTGCTCAGAAAATTTTGTGTAGAGAAGCCCTCCTGACTGTTAGTGGCACATATTTCCCCTGGAGCAAAAATTGTTTAAAAAATGGTCCAAACAACCTTTTTTTTTTGTTCTGAATTTGTTGTTTTGGTGATATGAGGTTGTAAACATTGCGTTTAATTTCTGACTGAATGCTAATATCCAACAAGACTGAATTAAACTATGTGAATTTCTTTTATCCTAAGAATTAAAAAATTAGTGGATAATAACTTTTTTTGTAATTGTGCAAGATTCTCAGCCTAGTAGCCGTGATACAGCGTCGATCAAGCGGCCGCTCCAGGCTGCATCATAGCTGTGATGTAGTGTCACCCAAACAGCCAGTTCAGGAAGCCTCTGAGCTCTCGGCTGCTATCTCGGTGGATACGATTGCAAACTCCTCAGCCAGCAGGGAACAATGAAAAACACACAAACAATACAAAACAAATGGTTGGTAAAACGTGGCTGGTACAGTGTACCTGCTTTCTGCACTGTAGACTGGGGTTCAATCCCCTGCCTGAGTGCGCACCCTACACTATACCAATAAGAGTCTCTGGGCAAGATTCCTAACACTACCTTCACCTACCGGTGTAATAATGATCAAACTGTTGCTCTGGATAAGAGCGTCTGCCAAATGCCGTAAATGAAAAACCGATGTAAACACGGCACATACGTACAATGGAGCGCACACACTGCCTGTGTAGACAGCTATTTGGGTCTTTTACTGCTTTCTAGCAGTGTCAATTTAACATTATTTATGTACACATAGCTGTTTCTCTTTTGTATTATAGAAACATCATTACAAGAGGACATCAAGGAGGAATATAAACCGGAAGTGAAGCCATTTCATGAAGAACATGCTGCTCAGAAATCTGGCCTAAACGCTGAGCGGGAAAAGAGTGCCAGTGATGCTGATACCTCCAACCTGAAAGATGACCAAGATCCCAGAGATGAGTACAAACGAGGAAAACCTCATCGGTGCTCCAAGTGTGACTGTGGTTTCCGAAGTTTGGCACAGTTAAGACGTCATGAAAAGACTCACAAAGAAAAGCCTTGCACCTCCCCTGAGTGCGGGAAAAGCTTTTCAAGTTCAGCCTGTCTTAAAAAACACAAGATGATTCATACCGGAAAAAAGCCTTTCACCTGCTCCGAGTGCGGAAAAAGCTTTTCAAGTTCAACCTGTCTTAAAACCCACAAGATGATTCATACCGGAGAAAAGCCTTTCACCTGCTCGGAGTGCGGAAAAAGCTTTTCAAGTTCAGCCTGTCTTAAAACCCACAAGATGATTCATACCGGAGAAAAGCCTTTTAACTGCTCGGAGTGCGGAAAGTGTTTTACGAGACCGAGCCAGTATAAAATCCACATGAGGATTCATACTGGAGAAAGGCCGTTTACCTGCTCGGAGTGCGGGAAAGGTTATTCAAGCGCGATGTACCTTAAAAAGCACATGATGGTTCACACTGGAGAAAAGCCGTATCTCTGCTCCGAGTGTGGAAAGCGGTTTTCAAGGGTAAGCAGCCTTAAAATCCACGTGAGCACTCATACCGGGGAGAAGCCGTTTACCTGCACTCAGTGCGGAAAAGGTTTCTCAATGCTGAACCTCCTGAAAACCCACATTATAATTCATACTGGAGAGAAGCCCTTCACCTGCTCTGAGTGCGGAAGAGGGTTTTCAGATGCCAACTACCTTAAAAAGCACATGATTTCGCATACCGCAGGAAGACCGTTTATCTGCTCCGAGTGCGGAAAAGGTTTTTCGACAGAGCGATCCCTTAGAAACCACATGGCGATTCATACTGGAGAAAGGCGTGTTGCCTGCTCTAAGTGTGGAAAAGACTTCGCAGAGTCAAGCTACCTTAAAACCCACATGATGATTCATACTGGAGAAAAGCCTTTCACCTGCACTCTGTGTGGGAAGAGTTTCACCAGTGCCAACAGTCTGAAAAATCACGTGAAGATTCATACTGAAGGCAGACTTTATTACTGCTCCCAGTGCAAGACGAGGTTCACACTTCTCTCAGAGTTCAAAATACACCAGCTGATTCACACTGGAGAAAAGCCCTTCATCTGTTTTCAGTGTGGACACAATTTCTCAACGTTATTTGACTTTAATGCCCACATGACGACTCACTCTGAAGAGGAAACTGGATTAATTCAGAATGCTATTGAATAGTGACACTTACAGATACATTTTAGGAACGAGTCACTAAAACCTTAATGACGGGGTTACAAAGATGATTCTTCAGGGGTTCTTTAGTTAAGGAAATGGTTCTATATAGAACCATGAACATTTCATGAACCATTTCATGATTTAATGGTTCTTTTGCATCATGAATGTGTTCTTTCGATTGACAGAGAAGGGTTACAGGGTTCTGTATAGCACCAAACAGGGTTTGTATATTGTTACAAGCTTGACATCGTAACATAGAAGAACCTTTTTGTTCCATTTTCAAAAAGTTCTATACAGGACCATTATCTTTGCTGAAGAACCCTTGAAGAACCATCTTTTTAAGTGTATATGTTGGTGTAATTAGAGCTGGGCGGTATGGCAAACATATCGCGGTACTTCAAGAAATTTTCACACTACGCAAACACTCATAGAACTCATAGAACCATTTCTTGCTTAAATGGTTCTTTGCCTGGTGAAAGGTTTCTCCAGTGTTACAGTCCTGGGGGTGTACGGTGTTTTGTTTTGTGCTCTTTTTTTTTTTGTTTTCTTGTAATCACTTTTCCCCTAGGTTTGGTGTCTGGATGGGTCTGATTAGATACAGCAGGGGGCGCTCCAGTTACTTAAGGGCCGTTGAGGCACTGTAGAAGAAGGAGAGGGCTGTTCCAGTGGCTGCACCTGTGCCATCAGCCTCTGCCTGACCAGACCAAGCACCCGAACCTTTTGTTTGTGAACTCATGTTATTGTTGTATGAGTTTGCCTAAATACCTGTAAAGCTCTCTTTTTCTAAGTAAGGGGGTGAGTGTCCTGTGTTTTTTGTATATTGTTTTCTCCTGGTTTAGGGCGGGGAGGTAGCCTTATAATTGTAATTTTGTTTTGAGTTAGATTGGTTATCTAGGATGTTTATGTCTTTTGATCTATCCTTCTGTAGACGCTCTTGATAAATGCACTAAAGCTGATCTGTATGCTTTGGCGGATCACTATCATATTTATTCCCAAAACTGTATATAACTGTGATATCAAGCTTTTCTTGTGTAATCAGCTGATGGAGCGTCGGGTATTACCAGGTTATCCTGAATTGGCTGCAGGTGTTGCTGTGGGTGGGGAAGGCATGGGTCCTGCTAAGTCTCAGGTCATTGACGATACAAGGGCGCTAATTCGCTTAAGAGTTAGAATTACAGGTTGAGCGGGAGAGGAGGGAAGCTCAAGGCTTGAGGGTGCGTGAGCTGGAACTACAGCAGCTTCACCGAGGTGAACGAGCTGCGCGTTGGCCGTCTACGCCTGAATTACAACCTGAGCTTCAGTCTCCCTCAGCCTCTGCTTCTGCAACAGTCGTTGCGGATTTTGATGTAAGTAAATGCATCTGTTTAGTCCCTCAGTCTCGGGAATCAACTTCAGACTCCCGAAACTGAGGGACTAAACAGATGCATTTACTTACATCAAAATACATACGAAACTTTTGTCGATAATAGGCACGCAAAACAGCGGCTTTTACACAATCATAATCCATACTTTGACCAATGGGCAAAGCAGTACATGCTTCCTGAGCCTTTCCCATTAACTTACACTGCAGCAACAAAGACCAAACATCTTTTGGCCCAGGAAGCATGTACTGCTTTGCCCATTGGTCAAAGTATGGATTATGAACAAAAGTTTCGTGCTCATGCGAAAACCTCTAGCCATGCCTGTGTAGAATTCGCTCGGGGGGAAAGGGATGCTTTTTGATAAATGGCTTGCTGCTTGTAAGATCACCTCTTTTGAAAAATTGTGAGGATTAATATTATTGGAAGAGTTTAAATGTTGTTTGCCAGAGAGAATTGTTGTTCATCTAAATGAGCAAAGGGTCACCTTGCTATGTGATGCTGCTGTCTAAATCCTCATTTTTTCCGTTGTCAGCACGCAGTGACCCTGTTGTGGCGTCACTGTCTGCTGAACGGCGTTTGAAATTCGTGAAACTGTCCCAGGGTTTTGGTGTTAGTCCTGTTCAGTGTGGCTCTGAGGAGTCACGTCAGTGCCGTTATTGCCATGAATTAGGCCGTTTGATTGCAAATTGTCCTGTCTTGGCAAAGAAGGAGCAGAGGAAGTTGTCTCCGCCTCGTTAAAGTGTAGCCCTGGTTCAATCTGGTTTCAATGGGAATGATTGGGTTTTAGCTTTGTACGGCTGAAGCCTGATTGTGTCTATGACCCATTTGTTTTGGAGGGCTTTGTTTCTCTCTCTGAAGGTGGTGACAAGCGGCAGGTTAAAATGTACTGGAGCAGCCCGATCTTGGATACTTGATGTTTTGCCCTTTTGTGATGCTACTTATTGTGGTTCAGATGTGTTAATTAAGGGGGTTGGGATGGGATATGTTAAGGCCCCACTGCATTCTGTATTCTGTCGTCTGATTTGGTTTCTGGGTTTGTACGAGTGGCTGTTTGTTCTAAATTGCCGGTACCTGGAATTTTGTTTATTCTTGGCAATGACCTTGCTGGTGGGAAAGTGTTTCCTGTTCCTGAGGTCATTGTAAATCCTATCCAGGTGGAACAAACTGATCAGTTGGGCTGTGAATTTCCTTCTGTGTTTCTTGTGTGTGTAGTCACACATGCTCAAGCACACAAATTTGAAGACACAGTTGACTTGTCTGACTCATTTTTAATGTCTAATCAAGCTGAAATGAGTTCTCCTTTAGATCCCATTGTTGTTGATGATCTTTCTAATGTTAACACACCTGAGATTTTAATTCTGCAGGCACCTGATTTTAAGTCTGAACTACCAGTAACTAGGGAGCAGCTTATTAGTGCACAGAAAGCTGATGAGTCATTGAAGAGCTGTGGAGAGTCTGTGGTTTTAAAGGAACAACTTGCAAAGCATTCCACTGCATTTGAAAAATGAGGTGCTAATGCGTAAATGGCTTTCTCTAAATCCATCTGAAAGTGATTGGAATTGTGTGTGTCAAATTGTAGTTCCAAAGCCGCACAGGGGCCATATTTTGAGTCTCGCTCATGAACATTGCGTGGCTGCTCATTTGGGCATTTCAAAAACGTATAGTCTGATCTTACAGCAATTTTATTGGCCTGGTTTAAAATCTGATGTTACAGAGTTCTGTCGTTCATGTCACACTTGCCAGCTTGTGGGGAAGCCTAACCAGTGCATTCCCCCTGAGCATCTCCATCCAATACCTGTTATTGATGACTCATTTTAGCACATATTAGATTGTGTAGGGCCTCTTCCAAAAACAAAATCTGGGAATCAATATTTATTAACTTTGATGTGTACTGCCACACGGTATCCAGAAGCAATTCCGTTGTGCTCATTGCAAGCTAAAGGCATTGTAAAAGCTTTGGTAAAATTTTGTTCCATATTTGGTTTACCGAAATTTGCTCAAACAGATCAAGGTTCTGATTTTATGTCTCAGTTATTTGGTCAAGTATCGGAACAGCTGTCTATTAAGCATAATGTGTCCAGTGCCTATCATCCTGAATCTCAAGGTTTAATTGAGCGTTTTCATCAAACTCTAAAATTAATGTTGAGGAAATATTGTTTTGATTCTGGTGGTGAGTGGGACGAGGGAATTCCACTTATGCTTTTTGCTGTGTGTGAATCAGTTCAGGAGTCACTGGGTTTCAGTCCTTCTGAACTGGTTTTTGCACACTCCTTTCACGGTCCTTTGAGATTGCTGAAGGAACAATTCCTCTCCGATCAGCCAAAACCAAGAAACAATATCTTGGATTATGTTAGCTCCTTTCGAGAATGCTTGCGTTGCTAACTTCATAGAGAAAAATGAAAAACCGCTATGATGGTCTGTTCCTAGGGGTTTCCAGTTGGGTGACCAAGTTTTGGCTCTGTTACCAACTACAGGAGCTGCATTGCACGCTAAATTCGCAGGTCCTTATGAGATCATGTCAGATCATGTCATATGCACCCCAGATAGAAAACGTAAACTCTGTCACATCAATATGCTGAAGTGCTACATTCCTCATGAGGCTGTGTTTGTGCATCCGATCGGTGAGGAAAAAATGCGTTGCTGCAGTTTCTGTTTCGACGCCCGTTACTGTTGCTGCATATGAACCTGAAGAAAGACGCATTTCTACAGTACGCAGTGATGGCTTTTGGCTTGGGCCGAACATGTTGCTGCATTAATGACTGTATTCGATCGTTTAAGAGATGCTTCTTTAACATTGAATCTTGCCAAGTGTGAGTTTGGAAAGGCTACTATCACTTATTTGGGGAAAACGGGTTGGACAAGGGCAAGTGTGCCCAGTTGAAGCAAAAGTGTCTGCTATCACAGAGTTTCCAGTCCCAAAATCAAAACGTGATCTTTTCTCTGTATGGCCGGTTATTACCGTTGCTTTTGTAAGAATTTTACCTGTGTTGCGTTACCATTGGTTTCTTTGCTTTGTGCCTCAAAACCATTTGTGTGGACTGAGGATTGTCAGCGTGCCTTTGATTCAATTAAGGCATTGTTGTGTGGTGCTCCGGTATTGGCAGCCCCAAACTTTGCTCTGCCATTTCAGTTGGAGGTGGATGCAAGTCATGCTGGGGTTGGAGCCGTGCTGTTGAAGGAAAATGAGGCTGGGATTCAACAACCTGTTTATTTTTCAAAGAAGTTTGTGAAACATCAGTTAAATTACAGCATAATTGAGAAAGAGGCTCTTGCACTTCTGATGGCTTTACAGCATTTTGGAGTTTATTTAGGCTCCAGCTCTTTTCCAGTTGTGGTGTATACGGATCATAACCCTCTTGTGTTCTTGCATCGCATGTGCAATTCTAGTCAGCGTTTGATGGAGAATGGGCTGTTCTGTATAGAACCTTTTTGAAAAGGTATCTCTATAGCACCCAAAGGGTTCTTCTACTGTTACAAACTTGGCATCATAACTACAGCAGAACCCTTTTTGGTGCTATAAAGGACCATATACAGCACATTCTCCATCAATAAACCATTTCACTATGCAAAGAACCATTTAAGCCTGTAAATGGTTTTGAACAGAACCACTCCCTGTATTTGGGAACTGTTAAACAACCAAGGTGGGAACAGTTGTGAACCATTTCACAATGCAAAGAGCCCCTTTATTATGCACAGGATTCTTTGAGTGTTCATGGTTCAATTTAGAACTGTTTTCTTTACTGAACCCTTGAAGAAAGATCATTGTGTTCGTGTAATTAGAGCTGGGTGATACCTATCGCAATACTTCAAGAAATTTTCATGGTATGTGAACACTTACAGAACCATTTCTTGATTAAATGGTTCTTTGCATGGTGAAAGGTTTCTTCAGATTGATGGAGAATGTGCTGTTGATGGTTCTAAATAGAACAATTGCCCTTTACTTAAGAATCTTTTAAGAACCAAGGCTGGAACAGGCTGTAGAACCATTTTTGCACTTCATTGTGCAAAGGGTTCTTTGTGTGTTTTCTTTACTAAAGAACCTTTAAAGAACCATCGACAAGTGGATGATTTAAGCAACAGTATTTTCCTGTTATATTTTTCTGATATGGAAATAAACCTTTTTGGATTTTGCTGTGAAAATATTGTTTAGAATGTATTTTTGTATTTGAGTTGTTAACATTTGCTTTTTTTTTTGTACCAAAGTGCATTAAATGAAAGTGGTGTGTCTTCTGATAATAAATGTTTAATATGTAACTGTATTCAATTTTTAAGACTGTTTCATGGCAAAGTAAGGTTTTCAAAATTATATTTTTCAGCGAATGGCTCAGTGTCCACAAAGATTCTCTTCATTTCTTAATAAATTCATTTTGCCCTGAAAAATCCAAAGAATTCAGCAGTCTGTAAAGGTCAGTAGTGAAGCATGACTGTGGAGAATGTGGCCTTTGGTTCTGGCCATAAATATCAAACCTCAGCCAACAAATAGGAAAAATCCACCTCTACGATAATGTTAA